TTTTCAAATCCCAGAGTATTTAGACTGGCATGTTCACTCTGATGACACGAATCATTTTATACATTTTATTTATTTATTTTTTTAGTATATAGCTGTATTTTTCTTAACACTGCAGCTTATTCTTCTTACGCCTTGTAAAGTGACCTTGAGCGTTTTGATCTTCAGCTACGAAGGAAGCTATATTAACTTAGCGTTTCGTGACTCGAGCCCGTACTCTTCTCCTGTCCTCTCAATATTCCAGCTTCTCTTGGCAAGTCATAATACCACCTACATTACATTAGTCATGGTTCATTAGGTGACACTCATGTCCCTTTTGCTGGCGTTACATGACGGTGCAGGTCTGCAGAAATTCAGAACCTCATACTATTTATTCACCGATACTTGCTCCAGGATACACATGCTACCGAGTAAATAAGAGGAGCGCGGGTGCAAAGTGAGGGAAACCCTGCTGCACACTTACCAACCTTAATTGTGGCTCTTTTATTAATATTACATGAAAATGAATGAAAACAAACAATTTATCCTGTTTTGTTTATACAGTTTGTTTCATGTTAAGAGCACAGTGTGTTGCCCTCCCTCCTTCTCCCAGTGAGATTATTCAAGTGCTGATTATTGGCGTTGATTACCATGGCAACAAACACAAATTTGGGTCAGCCTAAACAAAAGCATGAGATGATCCTTGTGGCAATTGTTTTCATCCAACTTACCATTCCGTTTGAAAAAAAAATAAAGGGGGGGTCAGGCAGAGGGGCTTCATTACAACCCTGGCACAGACTGTGTATGTGTGTGTGTGTGTGTGTGTGTGTGTGTGTGTGTGTGTGTGTGTGTGTGTGTGTGTGTGTGTGTGTGTGTGTGTGTGTGTGTGTGTGTGTGTTTGGCTCATCTACTGAATGAATTCTACAGAGCCTCCATCAGCGCACTCTATGAGATAAAAATTAACTTGCTCAAGCTGCAGGGAGTAAAATATGCATAATAAATGACTTACACTGCTACAGGGAAGCTCCTTTACTTCTATGTTGTCTTCATGTATTTTTCTCTACATATAAGGGTTAGAAGAAAAAAAAAAAACCCTGACAAGACAAATAAATGCCAGTGTGTGTGAAGAAGTAGTTTGATGTCTCGACCATGTTCTGCAGCTCTGAGGTCCTTTTTGTACTTGAATGGCTGATGTAATTATTCTGTAGAAATGTGCTTTTACTCCTCAACATTAAATAAAAGCCCTCTCTTCAAAGAAAAAAAAAAAAGATAGATCTTATATCACAGCAATCCCAGCTTTCATTTGCTCTGATTCATGTTCCCGATGAAGTCTTTTGTGCAGCAAATCAAACAAGCGCCAGATAAAAATAGGAAAGATGCTGATTTAAAGCTTCTCTCATTGTATCTGCCGTTAATGTACATCCACCAGTGGTGGACAGGCTGACAGAGATGTGGAGTCCACAGCTTTAGTCAGGTCAATAAGAACAGAGCCCTTTAATTTCTCTTATCTCCATAATTACACATAATCTCAGAGTCTGTCAGGAAAAATAACAGGGTTTGATTAGTATCCTGCAGGGAGAAAATGGTTTTAACTGGGAGCCTGTTCGTTTCCCCTCTAGTTCTTCGAGATAAGGCGCCGATCTCTGAAATAGCATTTAGGACGTCTGTCACATGTAAATGAGTCATCCCACAGGCTCATTACCTGCCAGTCAGGGGCGCAGAGCAATTAAAGGACGGACAGTGATTTCAAGACAGACACACTGCTCTCGCTACCTGTGACAAGAATGTGAGGACTGAAATTATTTCTGAAAAGTCTGACACTTCTTCGTTTAAACTACAAACTTTCCATGACTCAGATGTCCAAACTAAATCTGTGTACTTCCCCTGATGATTAAGTGATTCAAAGAAAATATCACTTTCCAGCCTGAACTTTAAATATTTACCTGCAGAGGAATGGCCAAAATGAAACCACTGAATATGTTTCTGTGTAAAAAGCCAAAAGGACTTTTTACTTAACAGCAGAGGTCACAACGAAGAATCACAGAAGATAAGTGCAACAGGTGGGCAGCAGCTTTGTGCTTTGATTTCTATCTCTTTCCGTCTGTAGCTCCGTATTTTCAGGCACAGACTGAACCTCCATGTAAATACTACAGCTCACTCCAGCTTCACCACCACATGGGAACAGTATAGAATAGGGAAGAGGGTGGAACAAACAACTACAGAAGAAGAAATACACAGGGAGGAGGGACAGCAGATCTCAAGATATACTCCTTTTTTCTTTCTCCCTGGCAAGTCTAACAGTAGACGCGTGATTTATTCAGAGTCGGGCCCAATCAAAAATGTGCGTACAACCTCACTGGTTCAGCTCAGTGGTTAATGGTGTGCCCTGTGCACACAAGCCTTAAGGCTCATTTATGGTCGCCACACATATGAAAATGTAAACCTCCATTTCAAACAATGGTTCTGTCACTGCCCACATACTCTCATGCGTCCTTTACGTTGGCATGGATGTTAACCATTACATCCACCAGGGGGCAGGCTGAAGTCAAAAGAGTCTGATAACAACAAACAAACGTAAAAAACATGGCGACTGTGGAGGAGATAGTGATAATGTATATTTTGCATAAGAGACAGAAACTGAATCAGCATTGGAGGAGGCGGTGGTTGGTCAGACCACTAAATGCCTCGTGGTTAGAGGACGGAAGATTCTTTTCTCTAGTAGTACTGATGAGAGAAATTGACAATAATCCTCATTTTCAGCTCCGCTATTGTCTTCTTTGTTTCTTTCTAGAGATGTGTATAGGGTAGTAACAGCAGCAACACTGCCCCCATGGTTTCCAGTGGTACTGCTCCCTCTGGCCCGTATCCGAAAACTTCAAGGATACATGCAGAAATATGGACGGAAAGAACGCGTAGCATGGACAGAGAGCTCCGTCCGTATCCGTATGTAACATTGAGCATAAATGAGACTTTAGTCCTCAAGGTGAACCCCCACCTTGTTTTTTTGTTTTGATCCCTACTATATTGACCGTCCAATCTTCAATTAATAGCACGAAAAGTGCACCCCTTCAAAATAAGGGTCAATAAGTTCAGCTGGTGTGACTATAATCAGCTGTAAAACCTGGATTGGATTTTATATCTAATATCTAATATTATATTCCCCTTCTTAAGGAAAGTGAGTTTAGCTTTGTAATAAGGTGTTCCACATTTATACAAAAGTTCTGTTAGGTGAGGTTTCAGATTTATCTTATATTCAGTATATCCTCTAATGCAAAGTGGCATCAGTTGAAAACTGTCTGAAATGTTAACACTGTGTAAGCGAGTCTTCTCTTCACTTAAATTCATTCCCGTGGTTGTTTGATTTGGTCTGATGCAGAATGGAAAAAACACATACTTAGACATTTCCTGTCACTTCTATTGAATTCATATATCCTGAAATTACCAACATTCTCAAACTTTAAATTTTCTGAGTTCCAGGCTATGAGTTGTATTTAGATTTGTATTATAAGGGGGTGTGGCTAGATAAGGGATTATATTCCAGCTCCAACCTCCATCTGTTTCCTAGTGAAAGTTCAGCATTTCCAGCATATAGCACCCCATAATTACACAGAGACGCCATGTTTTACACAGTCAGTGAGGCCGAGCTACTCACTATAGCTGCATTTTTAAGACACCTATATTACATACCTGCTTATTCTTTAGTATGAGCCACAAAAACACCTCTGAGGTCTGTTGACAAACTCATTCCTCGTCCGTGTGCTTTTACTTTTGAGTGATTGTATAACCACTTTCAAAGACGGATAATAATAATCCTTTAAAGATGCACTAAGGAAGGGAAATGTTGAACATGTTTAATTGATTACAGAGATGACACATTTGGGTTTGGATTTATTTGTCATGTCAGTTCCTTGCTTTTTAATTTGAAGGTTTTAGTGCTACCCTAGTTTACCGTCTGCTTCAAATGCTATCAGCTAACCATCCAGCCAACAGCTGTACCCAACCAGCCAGCCAACTACCCAATGTTCAGCACACCAAATGATTAAGGGCACCGGATAAGGATAAAGATGTGCTGGATTCATCGGAGGCTCCCAGTAATCTGCTGTTGGCAGTCGAGTTTGTATTGCATTAGCATTATTACTGCGTGTATCAGCTGGTTACAGGATGTGGAGGACTCAGCATCTGCAGCAGCAGCAGTGGTGGTGCTGCTGAAAGATGAAGTGCAGCTAATGGAGACTTAACAGCAGTAATTCCAACTTTAGGACTGGCTTGAATGCCAGGGAGTGTAGGATTTTAGAGGGTTTTTAAATGAGGTAACTGAGTGGTAATGAAAATATGCAGGATTTGTGACTTCCATGATGAATATGGAGGCACAGGGCCAGGATGGAGCTTTGGATATAGATACAGAAATGCTCACCCCTAACCTCAGATTTTGTGGATTAGTTGAGGGTTGTTCTGGCCTTTGGTTCTTCATTACCTGAGCCTCAGTATCCTACCTTGTCCACAAACATCAAATCTATCATCAAAAATTCAGGAGTAATACTCGACTGCAGCATGACCTTTGAATATCACACAACCATGCTACCATCAATTATGCACCATCTCCAAAACCAAATCAAAACTCTCACCACCAGATGTCAACTTGCTTCCTCCAGGCTTGATTATTGCATCGCTCTCTTGTCAAGTGTCACCCAGAAAGCTCTCTTTCCCTCCAACATGCCATCACCTAACCACAGTTTTAGCCTCCCAGTAAGTTTTAGAGTTGATTTAAAGGCTTTACTCATAACTTTAAAGTCAATATGTGTTTGGCTCTCATATGTTGACTCACTACAAACCAGCCTGCAGCCTTAGACTCTAAAGTAGCCTCCTAGTTGTCAGGACCCTTTGAGTGTTTGAAGAGATAAGGCCAAATCTGCTGCATCTTTTTAATCACTTCTCAAAGCTCATTTTATAGACCTGATTTTATGTGGCATCATTATTTCTATCTCCTTCCTTTCTTACTTTACTTATATTAGTCCTCCTGGTCTCAGCTCATATTGCTTAGTTCTGGTGTTTTATCATGTTGGACCAATTTATACCTACAAATGTTTTTTCTTCCTTTGGGTTGTTCAGCTGTTGGGTCTTTGCTTGTTATAGTGATTTTTAAAGTTGCTAAATATATATAAAACTATCATGATAATTATTTTTACTATTACAGAAAGTAAAAAAAATGATGATAATGATAATTGTACATAGTTGAAGTTTTGTTAAAATAACTACTTGTTTTTTTAGATTTTTCACATTTTTGACCCAATGTCCTTTGGTTAGATTAAAGCCAGCATGGTACAATCTATTATAACTTTTATATATCCGTTAAAAAGTGCACAAATACACTGATAATTAACTTCCTTGGTGTATTTGTTGAATGACAGGATTGGGATCTAAGAATCAGGGTTTTTGAATGTCTCACCATCGGGCAAAATCATCCAAATTTGAGGACCTCAAGCTATTTTTGCTATTGTGTTTTTTACAGTTGTACATTTATGATAGTTTTAGTTTGGCTTTGGATTTTAGAATAACCTAATTGACCAGCAGTAAGACAGATGAATAAGAAAATCAAACTGGGATATAATAGAAAGGTGATTAATAGCACAGAGGCCTGCAACATCATCAATTATGCAACCTATTAATCACTGAAAGCATTACGGCGGCTGAAAAGGAGGGTGAATCTCAATGCTGAAACTTGAATTAGACTTGATTTTGCTTCACAGCACATTAAAAGCACAACTGTCGTGAAAGAGAAGAGTTGTAGTCTTTGCATAATTTGCTGCACCTGCTGCGATTTGATCACCTGAAATGGGAATCCAAATGTGCCCCCAGTAACAAACAGTCACATTACCTCGCAGCTGAATGTGCTTTGTGTGGGATTCTTTGTGCACACCTTCTATGTGCATGCTTTAAGTGTCATATTTTTTATTTTTCCAAGGCTATGAAGTCGTTTATCAAACCCAGGACCCCATACATATGGATGAATGGAGAGAGAGGGGGATATATGGTGTCTATTTGATTAAGGAGACCTTTGACAGAGGAGCCTGTACCAGAGAATGACAGCTGAAGCTCTGTGGGTTTACACCGCATAAAGCTCATCCTCGGGGACCAATGTCTAGTTGGAATTATAAGCAGTGTGGAGCTCATACAGCCGCTGGAGAGAACTGATGAGATGGGAGCTTTTTTCAGGTCACTCACATATTCAAGTGTAGGGGGATGCAGATTGGGCAGTTCTTGTTTGTGGTGAATACCAAACAGAAGCTCAAAACCTATTCCCTTCAACTGATCAGCAGAAAGATGCATAAATAAGTCTGGCAACCAGCGAGGTGCTTTGCAAAGTAAGACAAAAGGGGATCCACGCGGCTTGAATCCAACCTCAAAGTACACACTTGGAGCTACCATTACAGATAAATCAAACTAAAACCCCTCTGCTATCCTAATGCACAAGCAATTAGAAGTGTGCTGTTTTCCAAAACAAATGCTTACTGCATCAGCTGAAACACTAAACAGACATAATTGGTGGAGGTATTTTTGGAGACGGCAATTACTCGCGTTATTAAAAAAATAATAATAGTTTTAATGAGCTCGGCTATTGGATGGAAATGAAACTGAAAGAGAAAACATTACCGATTTGTCGAGCAGCCATTTATCTGTAAGGACCGTTAGTATCCAAGACAATCATTAGACCTTATGGTTGAATACATGCAGTTCTGTTTAGTAAACCTCTGGCATGGCTGTATAACACATAAGGGTTAGGGGTGGGAATCTTCAGGCACATCACGATTCGATTACGAATACGATTACGATTCAGGGGCTACGATTCGATTCTGAAACGATTATCCCCCCCCCCAGCTATTACACATTTCTTTTTGTCTCACTGTGTAACCATTCACCACTTTGTGTTTTTAAAATATTAATAATGAGAAACAATTAAATGAATTAATTTCCACTATCTTTTATTATACTTGTGGAAATGTGTAAACAGGAAAGTTACAACTTCATGTAAAGAACAAAAGGTAGCAGCATCCTTGGCTTTTAGCATATCCTGAATCACATTATGTGAAATGTGAAAATATGTCCTTATTAAGAAATGTAAGAAAATATGAACTTAATCTTTAATTTATGTGCATATAGCACTCAAACAAATAAATACATTTTTTCATTTTTTAGAAAATAAATAACAGAATTCTGTTATCTGTCGGGATGGCCGTGTCAGTGAAGTAGCGTCGGGATGGAATGTTGTATCTCGGCTCCACCGTGTGCAGTAGTGCTCGGAAGCCCTGGTTCTCCACTACTGAATACAGACGTAAATCCTTGGCAATAAATGTAGCGATGGACTTCGTGATTCGTTTCGCCTTTTCCGATGAGGGGGGAAGCTTTGTAATTGCTTGCTCGATTGTTCTCTGTTTGGTGGAGGCAGCCGTAGCCTCGACAGCAGCCGGGCATCTTCCCTCCTCGTTCGGGTGAAAACGAGTGATGTGGCTCCTCATGTTCGTGGTGTTACCAAAGTATTTTATCTTGGAGTGACACAGTTTACATATAGTGTGGCTCTTGTCCAGTTCAAGTCCACCCTCAACTCTGTAGAAGCCAAAATTCTTCCATACATTGGCTTTTAATCCGGAAGGGGCAGGGTGGATCTCGCGCTCAGCCATGCTTCTTTGTTATGTGCTCCCCTTAAAGTGTCCGGCGGGTGACAACGCGCTGCACGAGTTCCGCCTTTTCGTTCCGCCTATTTCACGTTATTTAACATCTAAATAATCGGAATTTGGACGTTTGTGAATCGATTCAGAATCGTCCTTGCCTGAATCGAGATGCATCTAAGAATCGATATTTTCCCCCACCACTAATAAGGGTGTATGTAAAGTGCAGGTAAAGCAGCTTGAGACAACCTGTAAAGGTTTTGTGGGATCAGCAGACCATTGGAGGCTCTGGCCCAGAACTGAGAGTAAAATAAAAAAGGTTGGGTTTAGGCACAGGATTTGAGCATCAACTCAGCCTTGTTTCCAGAGAGTTCCTCTATGCCTACATATCCCCACTGGACGTGTCTTCTGCTCTTGAAATTGATCATTAGAGGACTTTTTAACAACATAATGGCGAGGCTTTACACGATACCATTAATTAACCTGCTTGATAAACCCCAAACGTGGTCAGGTCGGGAACACGTTTCTGGCTGGACTTCCTCGCAGACAGGCAGGGCAGGAACGTCGGTAAAGGCGTGTATACACCATTCACAAATTCATACACTGATGACAGAGGGTGCCATGTTTGTAAAGTGACCATCTGTTTCAATTAATCCCATTGACACGCTTCCGGCTATGCCACAGAAAGCAATGAGGGTACAATGTCAGGTACACTATGGTGTCATCAAACCATCATTCTATCTCAAACAGACCATCCCAACTCTACGACAGATACTGGTTAACTTGTCCTACTTTATGGCGCCTCTGTCTCTCCACCTTTCAGCCCTTGGCATTGTAGCAGTGCCTGACAGCTGGCCTCAGTCATGCGAGGTACCCTCACTTTAGAAATAAGTGATGTCTCCTTTTGTAACATGTATTGAGAATTACTCAACTGAATATCAGACAATGTGTTGCTACTTTGTGATATAGTTTAATCAAATAAAAAAAAGGTTCAGCCCAGTGTTGGCGCAGATTCTACTGGAGAGCTTGTTTCTTTGGGGTTTTTCCACCTCTGCATTAGTCTGCATTTGTCTGCACTCTTCCCTCCTTAGACAACACTCAGACAAAATGCACAGCCCATAATTATCTTTACATTCCCATCCACTTAGATCTGCCAGTTTATGACGGGAAAGTATTTGATCTGCTCCTAGTGCAGATTCATCTGAAGTACTTGTTGTGTTTGTTTTGGTGTTTTTCCGCCTCTGCATCTGTCTGTACTGCTCTGCGCCCTCCCCCCCTCAAAAAACATTGCAGCAGCGCCTCATCCCCTCCCACTAATAATAATAATGAATTAATAATAAGAGTAAGAACAATGCAATGCTAAATATTTTATATGTTCTGCTTCTGAATTCAAAACCTGCAGTTAAAAATCAACTCAGAGATGTAATAAACAGCCAAAATGATCAAATATGGGACTAATGTGGTTTTGTCAGTTTTGGTTTCGAGAAATGAATGAATCTCTATTTTCTTCCTCTGAGTTTGCTGAGATTTAAATTTCCCTTTATGCATTTATTGTGTTTAGAGGGTCAAGTTGGACACTACGTGACTGAATATGTATGTTTTAACATTATTTATTAAATGGATGCAAACACCTTTATATTCCCTGACTTTCCTGTGCATCTGGGAGGTAAAGTTATCCACTGCAGTAACAGCCAACACTATGAAGAACTTTATATTAAATAAGAAATGATTTTCTGGTGCTTTTTCAACAAGCTCAGCACAGTAGTTTTCCTTACTTTAAGATTCCCTGTGTTCTGCATCCTTCTTTTTTTTGTTAAAAAGAACAAGACAATGCCTTGAAATCCTTGTGAGCAGAGAGTTCCAGGTTGTGAATGAAAAAGCGCCAGAAACAAAAAAAAAAAAAACAGCTTCTGTCACCCTGCTCATCTTGGCATGGAGACACCAGAGAGAAGAACAAAGCCAGCATCCCCTCCTTACACACACATAATTTAGCCTGGCGTGTTATGAATCTATTACAAATCCTTTTATAGCATGCTCGAGAAGAATAGCCTTACGTGATAATGCGCTGAAAGGCTATCGCGCCACAGCAGATGCCCAGCTTCGCTCTGGTGTTGCGTCCCTTGACGAGTCTTCCACCAGCTGGGTTCATTGACATCAACAGTCTGGGGACAGCCATGGAATCGGAGCTGTTTAGCTGCTTCGCTGGCCTCCCCGTGGCCCTGCTTTAAGGGCATCCAGGGGCCCTCCATCTGCAAGGTTAAGACAATGCAGAGAGCTTTCAGGGAAGGGCAAATAAATGTGACAGTAAACATGAACAAAGGAAGATGCAATCAAAGAGCTACTGTGGCTGTGGATTACCTTTGAAAGCGCATGTGATCACTACAAGTGAAAGTGTGCATGCATGTTTACTCAGGGAGCAGTCTGAGACACTAAAGGAGAGAATAATTTCTAACACAATGGAAAGCAACAACACACTGGTATTCCACTACAGCTTTTCTCATTCCCTCAGAGCACCTATTTACCTATAAAGTAAAGCTCTGTAATTTATGTACAGCCCACATAATTGTGGGCCGATTTTCACACATCGGTGGCAATTCTAGACACCTGGAGAAACCACTTTGTCCAGCATGTGAAATGTCAAGTGATGAAATAGAAAGTCTGAAATAGTCAGCTTGGAATGATGGCTGAGACCACTGTGTAAGTTACACAAAGCTGGGCTATTATCAGGTGAACCCTTCATTGCAAAGAAAGAAGAAATCGAATGCGGAAATATCAATCAAAACAATGGAAACGGGTTGGATATTGAATGGATAGCAAATGGGTAAATGTGCATAACTCATCAAACAAACTGTCCTGTTGGGATATTTCAGTGAGTTGTGTGTTTCCCCATTATAAAGTGCTATTATTTCTACATTGCGCAGTCAAATAAATGACTGTGTTTAAATTTGGAGGTTGCAGCCATATATCTCATTGCAGAAACTTCCCTAAAAGCAAATACGGCTCTGATTTAAAAGAGATAAAATACCAGACACCTGACCATTAATACAATAAAAACGTAAACACGCTGTATGTAAAGGTAACTACAGTTTTATTTTTATTAAAGTAGTTTTAAAAAATACAGAGTACCCATGACATAGCAAGAAAAAGCCATATACAATAATCTACCCATTGTTTATATTCATCCACTAAATCTTCATCCGCAGGTACAGATGTTTTTACTCTGTGAGTAACATGTACAGTAAATGCTACATATGCATTCGTGTTAAAGTGACGTGTGACAAATTTGGGAGATGTGGTTAACATGTTAATGATCTATTCTTTGTTACTAAAAGAATAAAATCATGTTTACGCATTCGTAATCTGTGTGCACAGCTGGAAGATAATACGTGCACAGGAAATACAAATCCTAACCCATAAGCACAAACCCATATGCACAGATCATAAACTGTACAACTTGGTAGCTGTGTGGGATGATACTCATTAAGGATGCAATCAGATGAATGTGAAGGTCATCTTCAAAGTGCATTTAAAGGGATATTACAGCGTAAAATTAAGTTATGGTCAAACACACCATAACACAGAGTTAGACACCCCCTTGAGAGATGGATGTTGCTGACTGTTTGCTTCTTAGTGATACCAACTTTAGCAACAACCGCACGATAGCAATATAGAGCAGTCTATGTCTACACGTCAGAGCTCCCCCTCACGAGTAATAAACTACAGCTTTTCTAGTTTTACTGGACACAAGAATACTCAAACATTTTGCTCGTAGTTCTGCACTTATATGTTGTATTCTTTTTCCTTTTTATGCAAGAAAATGGTTAAACTATGAGGTACAAACCCCATGAATGAATTTTGAGTAGCTGTGTTGTACAAAGTTTAATTATTCGTACTCCTACTGTATTTAAGTATGACTGTTTGAGTATAAGTCCTTCTCTGTTCATGGACACACTCATGTTATCATATCTAAAACAACTCCCGTTAAAAGTTGCTCAAGGACAAATTCTAGTGTTAAAACTTTCACTACTTCACTTTAGGTCCCCTCTGATGGGCTTCTTGACATCTGGATGAAATGAAATTGGTTGTATGTCAGCTCCAACAGCTCATCGACATGGAGAGCCTTCTCACAGTCAATCTCAGTATCTCTTGCACCATGCCTCTTCAGAGCTTTTTAACTTTCACAGCGACCTCCGCCAGAGAAATGGGGAACCAATTCCCCGCCATCCTCCATCATGATAGGCTGTCTGCTCGACTCACAACTTTCTCAAAATGGTCCAGTTCCCCTGACTCTCAGAGCTAGACTACATCTCAAGGGCTCAGACCTCTTTTTTTTATTTATTTGGGGGAGATTTAAGTTTGAAAAAACCTCCACTTGAGAATCAATCGTGGAAAAAAAGAAGTGCAGCCGTACAGAATCAATAAGCATTAAATGATGAGGAAATGGCACGGCTAGATCCATGCAGCTGCTGGTTTTCTGTTTTTATCGGCATGCTTTGAATCTGGATGACACATTCCTGGCATTTCATTTTTCATTTCATGGCACATTCACAAATGTGTGGTCTTCTTAGAAAATAAAAACCTTTTTGAACTCTACCACTCTAAGCGAATGGTTTGAAAACGTAATGGTTTTTTCACGGATGTTTACATTGGAGAGATACTCGCCACTCAAGAGGCGCATTGAGTCTTTCATGATGGACCCTGAACAAATAAAATGTGCTTTAAAAAACTACAAACACAACAAAAGAGGTCTTGAGATCAATTGCACATTTATTATAAGAAAAAAGAAAAAATACGTGTTTACCTCTATGTCCACAAACACTGATTACATGGATGCTCTTCTTTATGCTGGTTTTTATACAGAAGAATTATAAAGGCTTGACATTTTCATATTATCACCAGTTGTGTAAAGAGAACCCATAAGACAGGCAGGTACACACTCTGCTGATTGTGAAATTGAACAGAACAAAAGCCAATCAGGACCCAAGCTAACTGATGAAGATAGTGGAGCCATGACAACAGCAGTGTAAGCATGTCGCTTCAACGTAGAAATGAAAGACAAACTTTTTTATTTTGGGGTAACATCATGAGTCTTGTAAAATTGAATGACCAAAGCAGAGAGATAGAAATGAATTGAGACTGCAATGGATACGCCAGGAAGCGAAAGGACTCGTAACCATAGTGTCATCCACCATCTTTTTTTGCTCTACAGCAAGATTTCAAGTTTCATAAGTGTGGCCTCTGGTTGCTGGTCAAAGTAATCTCTTCGTGTGGGGTGTCCTGTTAGCACAAAATCTTTCATGATTTTATGCAAGCACAGCACAAAAACAAACAAACCATGATGTGTAATGCCGGCCCGAGGATTGCCATCCCTCAACGGTGGACTACCCACAAATGTGGACCCTCTAACGCCAAAATTCCCTCAAATTCCCGTCCTGTCTGTCTCTGATCCAGTTTGGCTCAGCGCTCTCCTCACCTCGTCTGTCAACACTCACCGGCTGAATTTTGAAAGCACAGCACAGAGCAACACCAGACAGCTGGAGTCACGAGACCAAGGGTTTCCTACATTGAATACAGAATCAATGGTTGACTCCAGGCCTGGCTCCGCTCACCACGGAGGTTTGTTGAAGGAAACACAATCTGGCTTGAAGGTGGAGTGTTTTACTTTGAAAATGGACTAGATGTTTTCATGTTGTTTCTGTGTCTGACATCTTGTCTTCCTCAACCTGCCCTGTGCTGAAAGTTGCATTGTACTTTGGCAACGGAGCCGGTGGAAGCACAAATATCAACCAAGGTGAAACATACCCACAGCCAAGGCGAAGACCGAACACAGATCTCGTTGAAGTTTGGGGTAATGAGTTGAAACCATTGGTGGACAGTGATGAAGTAAACTTACTCAAGTATCTCCAGTTTATGGGGGAAACATTATTTAGTCCAGAACATTTAAAACACAAATATCGAACTTTCCCTCTAGTAACAGTCTCTGAATGTTCTGCCCGATTAAATCCCAAAGACGATAAACTTTGTGTAGTTCTGCTGAATAGTTTTATTTTACCTAGAGCAAACAGAGTAAATTAGAGTGACCATACGTCCTCTTTTACCCGTGCATGTCCTCTTTTTTTTTTCTCTGTCCGGTCTGTCTGGGGGAGTTCATAAAATCCTGCAGATGTTCAGGGTTTTGTATGGAAGTTTTGAGTTTGTGTCACATGGGCTTACTGAGTTAGAAGCGCGTAAAAAACACTCGACCCGACCCGAAAAACTCTCAAAATTTACTATGCGTGACTCCGTGACTCCGCCCCGCCTAGTCACGTCCTCTTTTTGGGGATTCAGAATATGGTCACCCAAAGTAAATGTCACTCAGATTAGGTGGTTTATTTAGAGGTTATCACGATGTCTATAACCCTGAAGGATGACGATTCTCCATCTGAGCACCCATCATCAAATCTCCAGTGCATACTTGCGGTTTTCGGAAAGATGAATCATAGGTAATGTTTTAAATGTTCGCTCAGTTCGCCACCAAGAAACAACCACATCTAAAAGGAGGCTGACTGTGCTTGAAGTAGCATAGTTGGTTATTATTATTGTCCTATTATCTTAAAATCGGTTTCATGTTGCTCTAAAAATTGTCAGTAATTTCAGATTAAGCACAACTGGGCAAAATATACATCTACTCTTGACTGTGATCGTGCATTATAAAAATACAACAAAGTTAACAGATTTTCAAAAAGTACATTTCAAAAGAAAGTATTTGAACAAGAACTTTAACCTGTACTTAAGAAAGAGTACCTAGACCTGAACAAAGTGCTGTCCTTCGTTCATCACTGCTTCAAAAACAGTTTAAGGCCTTGCTGTCCTCATGTGCCTTATATTATTAAAACGGGAGATTTCTTGTTTTTAACACCCCTCTCCTCTTCCTGACTCATCTCCTGCAGCTGCTTTTGCCTTGATATTTTCGTCCTGCTTCCTCCAGACTCTGAGCACTTCACACAATCATATTCATCATCGGCCCACCCACTCCTCTATAACTAACTGGGTTGCAGAGGCCCCGGAGAAAGGGCTTTGCAGAATCACAGAGCCCGGGGCGCTATTCGGCTGATGTGACGAGCTCGTGTCAGAGTCAGAGGAGAAATGTTCTTCCATAAAACCCTTCAAAAAGGAAAAAAAAAAAACACTGTAGCTCTTATTGTAGTGGAATCATCACACAGGTAGGATAACGTGAGAGCTGAAACAACTGTCCATTCATGAGGAGGAAAAATCATAACAGTCCCATGCAAAACAATCAAATATTTGCATACTATTCAAATGGAAAACTTTTGATAGTATCTGTGAGAACCTGTTGTCACATCAGCAAAGTAAAAAGACCTGATAATCTTTGTCTTGGTGCGTGTTAGAGTTCTAAAGAAAAGTAAATGACTTCATTTTCCAATGAAAATTACTTTACTATGACTTCATTTTTGTAAATGAATGAATTTAAAAAAATATATATTCACAGAAGTCATATTTTTACTTGGACTTTGTCCCAATAAAAAAATGACTTTTTTCTCATAACATTATTCTAGTTAGACTTCATTCTCTAATAAAATGATTTTACAACTTTAGTTAAAATAAATTAATAAATGAAAAATAAAAAATAATAATTATTCACAGAAGACATGATTTTCCTTGGACTTTGTCCCAATAAGGATCTGATATTTTTCTCGTAACATTATTTTATTTGGACTTAATTCTCTAATAAAAATGATTTTACAACTTTATTTACATAAAACAAAGAAGAAGAAAAAAGAATTCCCAGAAGACATGATTTTTTCTTGTAACATTTTTTAAGTAGGACTTAATTCTCTGATAAAAAATGATTTTACTGATGTTATTCTTGTAAGAAAATTATTTCAATAGGATCCAATCCAAAAACTACTTTTTTTTCCTAAAAGAAATTGTTTTGATGATTTTTAATGGAAAATAAATGTATTTGGCTTTAATTCTCTGCCTTACATTCGCTCTTTTTATGCTCACAGTATTACCTGCTGACATTGTGCCCTGTTTTTGTCTCTTATTCTGACATCTACAGTATAAAACTTAAAATATTTTTAACAATTTTTCCTCACACATTTTGTCGTTTTACCGTGGCTTTGATTTACGGGACCTCTGTCTTCATACAGCATTAAAGAGTGCGAGCAATAGTGAGGTTACAGTGAGAGCGCCCTCTGCTGGATCAAACGGAGAACTACTTCGGCTGGATATTTTAAATTTTAAATTTTACAGTCTGATTATGAACTTTACCCCCCAGTTTCTAACAAAGACTCAAATCTGGAAGGAAAAAAAAGTGACAGCCTGAGTGAGTGTTTGTGTGTTAAGCAGGGAGGGGAGGGGGTCTGTGAGTGTGTGATGTGGCAGGCAAGAGACTAAGGATGATATGAGAGAGTGTGTGTGTGTGTAAGAGAGAGAGAGGGAGAGGGAGAAAGAGAGAGAGGGAGGGAGAGGCAGGTGGAAAGGGGGAGGGGTCTGGGGTGGTCCAGACAGACGCTCCTTGTGTACCTCACACACTCTCAGCCTCTGCTGCGCATCATTTAAGAGGAGCCCGGCCGTCGCTTTCTCCGGTCAGTCTCACCGTCTGCGCTGCTTTACACAACAAGACCGCTTCTTTGACGCTTCTCCGCCACTTTTCCTCTCTGTTTCGTCTGCCTCCGGGACCAGCTGGTGAACTTAAACCACCTCGGCACCTTTATATGGAAAATACGGATCCACAGGGCGCGTTTAATCTCTCCCACCCGAGAGAAAAAGCGCACGGAGGGAAACGGTTGAGGGCTAAATGAACGCAGCCGTGATTCTCGGACGCACCGTGCATCATGAGGATACTACAACTACCAACAAGGTATAAACAAAAAGAAAGAAAGTGTGAATTTATCCCGTGTTATCAATGTGCTTTGTCAAATGAGGGGATTTGCGCAGGCTTTGTATCAGGGATTATCTTTTTGGAGCACTTGCGGCTGGGTGGGATGCTTTCATTTGTGCTATGTTGTCTTATCGCAGCATTGGTGAGGATGTCTGCATCGTCAGAAAGCAGAACCTTTTCCCTGCTGCAGTGTGGAGAGACTGCTCATTCCACATGTAATTTTATTAGCGGAAAGCACGCAGAATAAGTTGAGTCTACGGTCATGGAAGTGGGTATTTTGTGTAGTCAGGGTATGCATCAACATAGTCAACGTCTTCACACAAATAGTAGACTGTTGTGTCTCCGTACAGCGCAGATGGAAACAGATATTTATCAGCTCTTGAGACACAGTCTCTGAGTGTTATTTTGAAAGTAGTCTTCCTGCACAGTGGGCTGTGGAGTCAGGAGAGATACTCTGATGCATTCATGGTCCTACAAGTCTCATGCATAACCTCTGAAGTGATGTAGCAAGCCAATCCAAGCTCTCTGCATCTAGGCCAAAGTGCATAAAACAACAGAATCAATATTTAAAACACCAAACCAAGAATGGGCAGGTTTTCTGTCCTCATGTGCATTTCTTCTCTTGCAGCATCATTTCCCCTTGGTGTGACATTGTCAGTTTTGCTCTGAACACCTCTGTTTACATTTCTGGGCTGGAGAAGACTCCTTTTTTTTCCTTCTTCTTTTCTTTCCCTCATGAACAAGTGGGGCACAGAACAATGCTCTCCATCTCACTCTCCAATCAGGCCGAACAGGGTCCTCGAATTAGATGCAGACAAGTTGGATTATAGGGAGCTGGTATGGATGTATAAGGGTGTGCTGCAGTCGTGTGCTATGCTGTTGAAGTGTTCCATTTCCATAATGATAATTATAAAGTAAGTTTTGGTGCATTTTTAACCCATAAATCACATTTCAAACTCAAAAGTGGAGCTTTTTTTGTAACATCCAGGTGATGCTGCCATATTGAGATACTGTACACAGCCTGTTTTTTTTCTTCCTTTGTATCCACTGTGGGCTGCTGTGCATGATTTTTGGCAGTCAGTGTTAGCTGATTGGAAGTGAACCAAAACTTATGGTCTCAGAGCTCTCTCTTTTTATCTATTTTGATTCACAGAAATGAGGCTGTAGCGGCAGAAGGACTCACAGGAGACTAATGGAATGATTAAGTCACAGGATTGGAGGCTCTCAGCGATCTTTATTTAAGACTTTTCATGTTAACTTCATAATTTATCTTCTCTAAAGTACCACAGTGAGTGGACATGTGATGATAGTCATAAATAAAAGCGTGCTTAGAGCTTATGAACACTTTGGCAGCCCAGCCTCTCCTCTAATATTAATCTGAATCATGTTGCACTGCTTTTCATCTGAATATTCAAATGAATTTATTTCTGTTTACAATTTGCGCTGCACTCCGTATTCAACCCTGAAGTAGAGCTGCATAAAAATAGAAAGTACTTCACTTGCAAAAAAAGGACGCTGCAGAAATCTTCATTAATTGCAGTGCATTGGGAATTATTAAACAGTGTGTTTTCTCACTTTGCGTGTACATTTTACCTGTTAAATGGAGGCCTGGGTATTATTGGTCATGCATTTACACAATCTGATGCATTAGCCAGATGCAAACTACCCTCGGATTAATCATGGATGATTGCATGGTGGAAAAAAAGCTTTTTGAATGTGTGAAGGATTCAGGAGACACATGTTGCAAACACAAACACTGTGCAAATCATGAGGAACAACAGGTGACACTATAAACTGAGTAACAGCAGCTAATTTGGACTCTTTAGTAGTTGCTCTTGAACATTGCATTGCTATCTTGTGTAATTCAGAGGTTAGATTTGCCATTTTTTTCCTAAATTAAACAGCTTTAGTTCAAATTTTAACAAAACTAAGATGCTGAAAAATAAAACTGTAAACAACGGATAAAAAAAAGTGATTTCTGAGAATAAAGAGACAAACCGTTTGTTTGTTCACAGGGAGGACCTGGCATGGACCGCCGTGTCTAAATGAAGTGGTTCAGCCATGCAATGTTCCTGGAAGGCAGTGATCCTGCTGGCCTTGGCCTCCATTGCCATCCAGTACACGGCCATCCGGACACTCACCTCCAAGCCTTTCCAGCTGTGCCCGCTGCCCAGCCCCCAGAACTGCGGCCTCGGGGGCCAGGAAACAGACCCTCCCTTTGAGCGGGGCGCGGCAGGCGTCGGAGGCTGCGACGACTACCCTTACTTCTCCATCAATGCCACACGCAAAACGCACATCCTGGTCCTGGCCACCACGCGCAGCGGCTCCTCGTTTGTTGGTCAGCTGCTCAACCAGCACCAGGAGGTTTTCTACCTGTTTGAGCCTCTTTATCATGTCCAGACCACACTGATCCCGCGGTTGTCACACAGCCGCAATGCCGCAGACCGGCGTGTGATGCTTGGCGCCAGCAGAGACCTCCTGCGCAGCCTGTACGGTTGTGACCTCTACTTCCTGGAGAGCTATATCAAACCGACGCCTACCAACCACACCACAGATAAGCTGTTCCGCCGTGGTGCCAGCCGAGCGTTGTGCCAGCAGCCTGTATGCGATGCCTTTGGTCCTGCAGATGTGAATGTGGAGGAAGGGGACTGCGTGAAGAAGTGCACAACCCTGAACATGACGCTGGCGACGGAGGCATGCCGAGAGAAGCGACACATTGCAATTAAAATTGTCCGTGTGCCTGAGATAGGAGATCTCCGGGCTTTGGTGGAAGACCCGCGGCTGAACATCAAAGTGATCCAACTGGTCCGAGACCCGCGTGGTATCCTGTCATCCAGGATCGAGACTTTCAGGGATACATATCGTCTGTGGCGCATTTGGAGAGCCACAGGGCGAAGACCATATAATCTAGACTTGAGTCAGCTTACAGTTGTCTGTGAAGACTTTCTAAGTTCTGTTTCGACCGGTCTGAACCATCCCTACTGGCTGAAAGGGAAATACATGTTGGTTCGCTATGAGGATTTAGCCAGGAATCCGCTTCAAAAGACAAAGGAGATTTATGAATTCCTGGGGCTGACTATGGATAAAAACGTGGAAGACTGGATACATGCAAACACTCGGGGCAGCAACGAGCCCTCGGCTAAACACAAGTTTGGTACGGTGAGGGACTCAGCGGCGAACGCGGAGAGCTGGCGTTTAAAACTGTCCTATGATATGGTCGAATACACACAGACTGTGTGTCAGAAAGTCCTCCACCAGCTGGGATACAAGACCGTGAGATCGGTCGAGGAACTGAAAAACATGTCCCTCTCGCTGGTACAGGACAAAACTTTTGTACCTTTTTTGTAACAAAGATAGTTCTCTAATGACTATTTTTGATATATTTATAATTGTTGCCTTATAATTTCCTTAGTTTGTCGGTTTGGTTTCTGTAATTATGTTTCTTCAAATTTGCACTAAAATTAAATATTTTGAATGCACCGGGGGACTTATGGATGAAACCCTTATGTTGCAGAACAGCACACTTAAAACACACGGAGTAAGTTAGTTTAAAATGTCTCATTATTTAGTTTTTCATGAATACAAACAAGACAAGACACTGTCTTTGTTGATTTCCTGTATGCAAGCTACTGTTAAAGCAGAACTCAAATGTTCCCCGTCATACACATAAGACTGAGGGTTTGGTAAAGCAGATGTTTTTTCTTTTTTTTCCTTATTTTTAAGACCTGTGATGGCAAAACTGGACTGTACAAGCCCTACTGTGCAATAAATAGTGAATGTCGCAGTCAACCTTTACCACTATGGCATTTCTACCCGTGCGGGGAGGGAAGAGTTACCTCTGACAGATGCTACGCTTGCAGAGGATAATTGCAGACAATTAATAGGCTCTCAAGTTTAAGGGACAGAATCCCACTGGATGTCACAAGTGTTTCATCAGAGTATTTACAGCCATCTGTGATAGACAAACACACTCTAATGAGAGGTAATGCTAAATCTTCATCACTTTGGCTTATTTGGGAGAATACATCACATTCATCAAGACGAGCACGCTCCTAAAACTGGAGCATTTTATATCTAATACAACATCAACCACAAAAAACCTTGTGATGGATGTTGATGAATTGGCACCTGTCGTTTTAAGTTATGCATTTGTCTCTTAATTTTGCAGAGGCAGCTTGTAAAAGCTTCTTTCTGTCTTGCACACAGAAAAAGGATTTCCTTGTTTGTTTCACACCTGATAAGCAGCAAAAGTATGAAACAAAAAAAGGCATCCAAGTGCAGAAATAGTAAATGCATTCTCTCTCAAGTGCAATAACACGGCTCTTTTGACAGCCCACGTTGGATTTATGTTTATATTCCACATGAAAGATTCATAACTGAGCAAGCTGTGTGTCTGCAGAACAGGTTGCACGGCTGACTTTTTTTTTCTGGGATGTGTGGAAAGCTTCTGCACAACACTGATGTATTCATAAAGCGATCTACACCAAGTCACATACAGGTATTACAATAATGACGGGCCATAATCTGGAGCAAATCCTCTGATTGTCATGGGAGCAGTGTGCTGGATGTTTTCTCCATGTCATGTTAAAGGTTTTTAAAAAAGCAGATCTGGCTTACTGTTCCGAGCAGGACACCCAGCGTGCTTTTTTTTTTGTCTTGCACCTTTAATCGTTCGAACAGACGGCGCCCAAGCTTTAAAATCTTAATGTCATTTCCTCTTCAATGTTTTGACAAAACCAGTTACATTCCTTAGTCCGTGCACAAAATAAAACTCCTGTTATTGACAAGACTATTAGGAAATTAGTGCAGTTAGAGGCACAGACAGCAGTGCTCTGGTAAACAACCCCACAGTTGGTTTTGATTTGACGACGTGTTTACCAGATTATACAGTGGTTAGTCTGGCAAGAGTTAGTGATCGTTTCATGCTGTGCTCTGTTTGCAGCAGCTTAAACTGAGTGTCGGTTTGCATTTCGCAGCACAGAAACTGTCAAGAAAAACACAGCTGCATGTACGCAACGCAGGGTAAACGGTTTTCACGGTCTAACCCAAAGAAACCGGCTCATATGCAGCGGACGAAAACGCAGAAAAAGTTTGTTTTATATGATACTGATTTCTGATGATGCTGACTTTCTGTTTCAATCTCCCACCATTGCGTCATCATCGCAGACAAGCGTGCGGTCAAACAGCATGTGACAGTCTGTCGATTTCCATGTACTTGTTTACCCATAACATATAAGCCCTGTGAATGGAGCATCACACACAGGCTCATCAGTATTGGTGACCGGATGTCCATTGTGATGCAGAGCACAAACCTTTGATCCTCCTCTGTGCCGGGGCTTGGAGGCAAACTCCCTCTCTCCCTCCGTTCTCCCTCTGCCTGTGCTTTCTCCATCATCCACCTCTTTCTTTCTTACTGAGATCTCAGGGGATTGTTCCTTTGCTCCAGTGCTCACTCTCTGTTTTTCTCTTTACCTCTGAATCTTCAGGATGTGCTTGGCATACTTTGTAAATTTGAAACTGATAAATGCTGCAAAGCGGGGCTCAAGTACCGGCATATGATTACTCTGTTAGCAGTTTGAGGAACATGACGCCATTGTGGGAAATATGCCTGTTTGCTTTCAGAGACTGACACCAGGTGACAGCTATCGACTTAGCTTAGCATTATGTGGAGCCTTGATGTGTTTGGTGTTTTTAAAAATCAAATACCGGCACTTCAAGGTGTCTTTAACATTTAATCCATCATTGTACAGCCTTGCAAACCAGTTAGCAACACCACAGGCACCTCTAAAATCTCTATTTGCATGTTGTGACATGAAGCAACAGGTCTGTATTCGGAAAAAAAACAGGTCTCGACTGGTTAGCTTAGCTTAGCAAAAAGAGGGATATGACGAGCCTTACGATCTCTGAAATTAACAAAAATAAGTCAACAGCGGCCCTGGACTGAGATTTTTATCTAAAATGGTGATGTGCCGATCTTAAAAATGAAGCTAAAAAGCAGCTGGTTTGCAAACACAGTTAGCATTGCTACACAAGAACATTTTCATGGTGTAAAAACAAAGTTTAAACTTTATTTTACCAACCTTTATTTTGTTTTTTTGGCTCAGTTACCCATTTCCACCTTTTGTGCTAATCAGCTGCTGGTTTTAGCATCCTGTACGTTGCTCTGATACCTGGCATAAATCCTCATATTTTACCATCTCTAAGCCGCTAAAAGCTCAAACTGGATTGTGGTTTTGCTGTGTCATTTAGCCCGCTGACTGTGAGAGAAAAACCTGATATTATAGTCTGAATAATCCTGGTTTTGACTCACTCCATCTGAACACACTTTTATCTAAAGCTCTCAGTCAAAACTAACTTTGCTCTTAAGCGCTGGACTCTTAGCTGGAAACGGTGGCACACTTTCCTCACATGTCTGACCCCCGTACACTGTTTGCAGCCTGCTCCCCATGTGTCCTCGGCCCTGGCGGAGCCCCTCTGGTTGTTTACTGTGTCCCAAGGCTGAACATATGGCTCACAAGCCCCTGAAAGAAAGTACAGCAAATCCCGCTCTCCTCATGTCTCCCTCGCTCTGTTTTATTCCTATCCCCCCTCATAATGTGACCTTAATAATCTGACCCTGAGTGACTGCGAGAGAGAAGAAAGATATTTGCTCCTCTGAACTCGCTGTTCGCTGAGCTGAGCCGACAGAATGTGTCCTAAAACTACTGAACAAAAGCTGCAGAGTGAAAATATTCTTGAAGAGTGTGCAGGAAGGAAGTTTTTGAAGTCTGTGATGAAAATCTGCTGTTAGCTCCTCACTTGTCTTGCTTTTGTCCTTGTTTGTGGGTGTAAATCATTGAGTGTTTGTCATAGCTTTTCTGATACTATATTTTCCAGTGTCTGATACTAAAAATATTTGCTAATATCCCTCTTATCCCAGGGCAAGAATAAATACAAAGATACTAGCTTTCCTTTTAACCTGATCTGTATGAATGTATCTTTCATTTTTATCCCCCTTATGTGGCTGAGTAATCCACGGCTACTTGGCTATGGTAGGGTTAGTTTAGCTCGTATGGTCACATGTTCTAAGAAACATCAGAGTAAGGCTTTCCGATTATCAAAATATCTAAGTTACAATATTATTCCCATATTTTTTTTAAATTTAATATGTCAGCAAATTTTTAAAAAGACGAGGGCATGACAGCCTAACAAATTCAAGTCGTAAATTTTACTAATAAACACAATCCACTTACACGTCATCATCCATTTTGAATTATGTTCAAATTTATGATTTGGCTCATAAAATTGATTGTTTTCCATGCTTTTATTGTCAAATCATTTGTTGTCTTGCATTTAGGTGCTTTTATTTTGAAGTATAAGCTATTGCCGTCATATTGTAAGTTACAGAACTGAGTGAAAACGGTAAGAAAGTATAAGTGTTCAATTAGTTGGTAACTTGAAAAGTGATAAAATCAAAATTTCAGTCATGGTTCTAAAAACTACCAACTGAAAATGCAAGGTGGTAAAAACTGAGGCTTACATTTGGCTCGCTCTGACTAAGGCTATGTTCACGCAGCAGGTCAATTCTGAACTTTTAACCATATGTGACACATATCTGATTTTTTCATGTAAGTGTGGACAGTTCAATTCTGATTTTCTTCAAATCCGACCCAGGCTTCTTTTGTATATGGATATAAATCGGATATGTATCCGATGTGGCTGCAGTGTGGACGCTCAGGTCGCGTTCATCCGACCTATACGTCATCAATATGCAACAAACGTCACCATTGTTCGACAACACAAACAGGCGCGGAAAGCAATGGTGGACGGGGGAACGGAGAACAGCCAGTGGCAAAAAGAAGAAACATTAGAGTTGATAAATATGTGTCTTCCAAAATAAATCCAATCCAATCCAAAATAAAACACCTAAACATGGAAATATTTGACCATAAAATAAGAAGTATCTATCACTGATGTATTGTTCTTATGATGTATTGCTCCTTAACAGTTTAAGTGCCGCCAAAAATCTGTGATCCATGTCAATCCTCACCAAATGAAGCTTCTTAACAACATGGTAAACTCACAAACACGCAGGGGATCACAGGGTGGTATAACCCACCACAGGAAAGGCGCAGTAACCTGGTTTTGGCATGTTGCTGCATCATGCATGATGATGATGACGTGCATACACCGTCAGAGAGAACAAAGCCGTAACACAACACAACACACGCACTTCCTTAGGGTTTAATGTGTAAATCAGTTCCTCTTTGGGTCTAAAACAGCAGATGCAATCAGTAGATATATTATTGCTGTGCAGGCCAGGTTAATGGAAGGCAGAGGGCTTATAAATTATTGTTCTGGATTGCTGCATTGATTTCTGATTACTAGAGCTGCAGTTTAGGCTGTACCAGAGGCCTTTTTTTAACACTGGTATAGAAATAACAGCATTGTGTGTAACTGTTTCTGATCCGCTGCTTTGAGGGATATGCAGTAATCTCTGGGGAAAAAGCTCACTGAAATGAATAAATTGAGGGAGGCATGGCACGTAAACATGTCAGCGCCTCTGCTGCTGAAATGAACAGCGAGTATGGAAGCATTTCCATGTCCTGGCGAGCACGTATCATCTCTGACCCCTGAGTACGTCACCTCTGCGGTTAATTTGCAATGGCATTTGGCTCTGCATCCAAGTAGCATGGATGATTCAATCAGGTGATTCAGCTCAGGTGCTTTCCAGCACATGCCTGAGTGAGAGCCGAGCGGTGCAATCAAAACTATTCATGTGCAAATTATGAGATCATTTTGTTCGCCTTTTCTTCACAGGTTGTCCGCGTTGTTATTTGATTGCTGGGGAAATGGCAAGTAGGAGGGGAGGAGGAGGGGTCGGGGAGCTGAATTTGCGTGAAGTGATATGAGCAGCTTAATTGAAACTGTCAGCAGGTCAGTGTTAGAGAGCCATAGCAACCAGGTCATTAGATGGTCAGAGATCCAGAGCGCCATGATAGGTGTAATTGGCAGAGCAGCTTTGAAATGAAATTTTCAAATGTATCAGATTCCCTGAAATGTGCAGCATCCATCCTCCTGGGTAATATAATTTTGCAGCCAGATTGAAATCAAACCCTAACTTTGGACACATCATATCTGCATGTTCTGGTGCAGAGGATTGGTTTGCAAACTGCAAATATATCCTAATATAAATCCTTATACAAATATATCGTTATATATCCTTAAATATATCCTTATACAAATATATCCTTAATTAATGGTTGCACGCTGCAAATATATCCTTATGTATATCCTTACTTAAAATTCTATATATATCCTAATACAAAAGTATCCTTAATTTTGCTGCTAGATTGAAATCAAACCTTAGCTTTTCGCACGTCATATGTGCATGTTCTGGTGCAGAGGATTGTTTTGCACACCGCAAATTTATCCTTATATATTCTTATATATATCTTTACTTATCATTCTATATATATCCTTATACAAATATATCTTTAATTCTGCTGCTGGATTGAAATCAAACTTAGCTTTTAACACCCTGTATTTGCGTGTTCTGGTGCCAGGGATTGGTTTGCACGCTGCATGATGGAGAAATGCTGCATGGTTCTGACACATTTGAAACCCTGAAAAGAAAATGCATTATTGAAGCCAAACTATTATATTATCTTCTTGGTACTTAATGCTAAATACCTGAAAGCGTTAAATCTTACAGCATGTACGATTATTCTTTAACGAAAAGGGAGAAAACTCGAAATGACAGCCTGTCCCTTAAATGCTCCAAGCTACAGCTGCAACTGGCAGGCATAGGTTAGTCAGTCTCTGCCTCCTCTGCTACACACACACACACACACACACACACACACACACACACACACACACACACACGCAGAGCCACACTGAGGAGCCATTGATGGTAAATTCCCCTGTGGAAGTGTGGGTGTAGGTGAGCAAGAGGATGTGTGTGTGTGTGTGTGTGTGTGTGAGTATATGTGCATGCAGTGTGGGTCGCTCTGGTCAGTGCAGCTTACGTCACTGTGGTCAGCTGTGGCTCTCTCGCTTTGCTGCCGTTGCTTAAATTCTCCCCTCGGCTGGCCTGAAAAGCCCAAATGAGATTAGCAAACAAGTTTGAGCAGTCATGGGCTAAAAATGAAGCTCGGAGAGGTCTGGGAATAGAGCACAGACATGGAAGTATTTGACACTGTGTGACATTTTTGATTTGCAGATAAGACTTGCAAATATGTGCCTCGGATTCCTTGTGCTATATTAGACGCATAACACGACAGAGTGCATTCTGGGCCGTGTGCTGTGTATATACGTCTGGCCAGGGGCATAAATCCCGATCAAACTCCAGACTACCAAGCATGCATTTGTTTTCCCAGACATCCAGGCTGTAAATCAGAGCTCTTGGAGTGCAGTGATGGAGCGGTGAAAGACGGCAGCGGTGTAGGTCTGAAAATATCACTCCATGCAAATCTCGGTTATGTAAGACTCAGTCTTCTATTTAATCTATTTTTGATCAGACTGTATGTTTTGTTCTCATCTCCATAAGGAAAAGAAAGACAGTATTCTCATGAATCCAATCTGAGACAAGCCGTCATTGTAGGGGTTTATTGGCACACTCGTGCGGGCTGGCACGTCTATTTTAGCTCTGCATCAAAGATGTTTCTGTGCATGAATGTCAGTTTTTCGCTCTCAAAAGGAGCGGCGTCCCATGACATGTTGGCAATTTCCGATTGCGACATACGTTCTCCTCTTCTGTGTCCACTCCGTGTTTGATTTGCATTCAATATCCGTCATAAATAGGAGCCTTGTTTCATTCAGACCGATATTTTATTCAGCGTTTCAGCACCCTCTGAGGCCTCCAGGCCGTTCCAAATTACAACACTTAACATAAAAACACAATTCAGCATGAGAGATTTTTATAAGCTGCATCTGCAAGCAATGCAAGCTTGATTCGAGTCCATACTGTGTCATTTGCAGATTGGTTTAATGATTAAAAGCGACTTTATTTTATTGTGTTGAGGCCTATCTCTAATGAAATTTATCGCAGAAATGGAGCTAGGATACCAGAAAAAGGTCCAAGTGTTCGATTCAACACCTCTGATTTAACATTTGAGCATCTTAAGTGTTACTTTTATGAACATTTTTATCACTTATCTGAATTATAAACACTAGTTTCCTCTTAGCTCCTTAACTCTCTGGATGAGAACGTCCTCTTTCACTTTCACTCAACGCACTTACTTCTCAAGGTCTCTACAGAGTGAAATGGTGTAAAAAGATTAATATTTCTGGATGGATAACAACCATTTTGAGGTGAATGTTATTATATTTTCTTCCCACAACCCTGGTTTACATACTCTGGAGAGCTCCTAAACTCTCTTTCCTGTCCATTAATTTCCGCATCCCTCATTAATTTGCTCTCCTGGTGAAATCTGCAGCACAGTTGAAATGTCTGCAAAGAGCTGAAGGGAAATCAAGGAGCTCACATCGGTTCTTTATTGCTCATATACTTTGGCACATTGTTAAAATCTGCCTCAGGTAGTCTCGCTACATGGGAGTTACTTGCTGCTTCAGGTAGGACTACCAATTCTGTAAAAATCATCAGACAGGAAACGTCACGTGACTCGATAATGTCCTGGGTTCGCTAGCTTGACTACAACAGCTGTGAACCAGGAAACCACGCTGTGAGAGCTGACGAGCTGTTCTGGATTCACTGGAAATAAAGCGCCCTGCCACTCTTTAGTTGTCCTATTTCGTGATCACACAGCTGCCGTCAAATTATCTTGGTTTTTTCAAAATCACCCGCTCGCCCTCCAAAGCAGCACGCCCCACGACACAGAGCTACAGATGATTTTTTGATGATACATAACGTTTCCGTCGAAGCAACCCTCAGGAGGAGGCTGGTGCCCTTCTACGGTAGGTGCAGATCTGTCATGAGCCGATTTATGCCACCTTAGATGAACCAAAGGGTGCAAATGATGTTAAAGCTCGAGAGGAAAGAACACAGCTGCTGAACATATGCTGCTCCAGAGCAGGGAGGACTGCAGGGCAACGTAGGAAATGGTGCGCATGAGACATCCTAATGGTAGAGCTTTCACACTGAGTGATTTACAAATTTATGTTTCAACTCTTTAAGTTTTGGTGACTGAGGATTTATCGATTATTTTTCCCATAGACGCCTGTTTGGTTAAACCAGCAAAGTACACTGTGTCTTCAAGGTGGTTTGAGCAGCAGGAACAACAGCAATTTTCTTGTACTTGAAGTCGCTTGAGACAGACTGAGCAGGCTGACTGACAGACCACACAGCGATAATGACAGAGCCTGGGTGTGCAGCGTTTTCTCTGTTGACATTGACAGCTCTCTATCAGTTGTTGGTGCACTCGCTCTGGGGTAAAAAGGAACTTTTCACACTCTAGTGAAAGATACCAGTGAAATTTGAATAATCTGGCTTTTTCTGACAAGTTCCCCTCACCCTTTTCTGTGTTTTTATTAAATACCCTACAGCCAGCGTAAGTCACGTTGGTATAAAAGGTAAAGTCTTCTATAACAAAAGGTTCAAACTGTATCTCTGCATGGGGACTATTAAATTCAGTAATGTGCATTTTCTGTGCAGCTGTGCAGCTCTTCATGGTACCATCTGTTTTCAGCCTGGTACAGGAGTTGAACTCAGTCCACAGTTTAGTGCTGATACTCTAGAGGTCTGCAGGGGGCCACTGACAGCATCTAATCCAGTGTGACCCATCTCTACAGGCCACTTTTTAGTCTTTTATCTTAAAGCTCCAGTGAGGAACTTCTGTTTTATGCCCCCCTGTGGAGAAAGCAGTCATGACTTATCGTGTCCTCTACATGCCTCAGTTGTGACTTCACTAAAACTCTCATCCTGCTGACCTTTGACATTTATTGCTCCCTCGTACCAGTTTCAGACATTAAAAACAACCACGTCAAAATCACAAGTCTTTTTGCTAATGCTCTTGTTTGCTTATGGAAATCATGCAAAGGCACCAATTCATATTTGAGTGTATTAAATATATATATGCCAAGAAACTCTTTCAAACAAACTAGCTGCCAATTAAGTTAAAGCTACTAAAAGAAGATATCTAAACATTTAGAAAAAGTAACAATAAAACTTTTGTCCTCTAATGATATACAAAACCATCAGGGACAAAATTGACAATATTTATTCTGAGATTTTTATTACCTGAAACTGATGTGAGAGGGTAGGTGTCCTCTAAAAACCTCATCCTGCTGACTTTTGACTGTCAAATGTTTGAGTAATTGGGGATATTTTATGAGTAGATGGTAAAAAAAAACAGGGCTGTTTCTCCAGCCGGTTGGCTGACACTAGCTGAGAATGAAGAGGACAAGACAAGCAAAGACTGCTTTGTCTACAGGGGGCGCCAACATTTAAACAAACTGAAAGTTCCTCACAGGAGCTTTAACATACCTGAAAGCATACTAAAGTCTACTTTAAATCCATGATTTCTACGATACCTCTGACCTAATGAGGAAGACAGGGGGCTGAAGGGCTGAACGAGGAGGATGTAAGGCGCGTTTCGTGGAGGCTCTTTTGGAATATGACTTCTTCATATTTCTATACATATTACATACATATTTCTATACATATTTTTAACACTTTCATTATTTCTGCCGGTGTCAAGCTCTAACGCTACAGCCTTTCATCATATGTAAAAAAAAACATTTTGTTTGTGGGCACCCAACGATGGCAACCTGAGGGGAAGGTGATGCTAATAAGCAGCAAGTAGCACACCGCAGAAAGCATCAACTATCACCTGAGCCACAGTACCCAGATCAGCCAGATGCTAATGCTAATGCCAATGCCACCCTGCTGCAGGACATGAGGAAGACGATGGACAATATGTGCTTCCTCAGTAAGTTTGAAACCACCATCTCAACAACAGAGGAAGAAAGGGAGCTAAGAGAGTGTCACACTATATCGGTCTGTCATCTCATCACTTAAGTAGCTGATGAACCAAACTATAAAGCTAACACATACAGATGGCATTGAGCAGCATTAGCATTCATTTGGAGTCTTGTTTGTATCTGCCTGACAAATGCTGCTCTAATGTTCTCTTTCCCATTAGATCTGTTTTCATTAATTCCTGAGGGAAATAATCTGGCTCGCCTAACATCAATTATTCCCCCAGGTTCAGCGGCCAGTTAGACACTTTGGCTAACTGCTGTTTGGCAGTCGACAGTCACATTCGTTCAAGTCAGAGATGTTTCAGTGCCCCTGTTTTGACTGCACGCTGTATTCAAAATGATGCAAATGATGGTAACTAAAACCGTGACAAAGCAGAGAAAAATACTGACGGACAGGACAGAAAAATCACTGCAGAACTTAGATGAACTGCTGGGCCGGGTACTCTGAGTTCATTACTATGAGCGACACCTTTCTGCACTTGTGTGATCAATTTTTAATATATTTATAAAAGCAGCTACCAGACTAAGATAGTGATGTGGGAAAACAACAACTTCAACCCTGTTGCATTTGTCTGACGTCTGTTTGCACAGTGTGGTTTCACATTTCTTTGACCCCCGTCAATCACGATAGGGGTCCCGACCTGCAAACCAAACAAAAGCAACATTTTTTCCCCTTCCCTTTTTAAATTATTTAGTACCCAGAATACACCTCTCCTTCCTCTCTCTCTGCCCTGGATTTCTTGTTAGAGTCAAAAGTGTGACTCAACCCTGTCTGCGTAACGCACCTGAGGTGTCGAGTCCTTGAAATGCAACAATTGTGTATGCCCACTGGCAGTGTGCACAGCTGTGCTCACAACCCAAGCGCTGTATAGTAACACTATACACACATCTGCCATAGCTAGACATGCACTGGCAGGGTTCATGCAGGTTCATCATCACACACCTAATGCACGCACTCACTCACTCACACACACAGAGGACTTGAGGCAGTCTGAGATTCATTTTTTGAGTCAAACCTTGATTGCCTCATTCAGCTAGAATTTTGGAACCAGTTGATGATTTCTTATGAAAAGTTCAGGGTATGTTTGATGGATTTTCTGCCTTTAGGAAATAGAAATTACCTTACCTCAACATTAAAATAATTCACTTATAAATCGTTACACTTAATACTGAATCGAAAGACAGCTTTGTATGACACATGGTCCACGTATTCCAGAGAAATGAGGCATTTTCAGATTTCAACAGACTCTATGAGGTCCTGCTTTTCCTGATAAGATGTAAAACTATCATCACTCTCAAATGTCACTGGACAATGAATGAATTAAGGTCAAATTTCAGCGATATTCTGCTTTCATGCCCCCGCCACAGATGCTGTCCTTCTGACTTTCTCATTCCCAGATCAATTCGTAGTGGCTGCCTTATTGGCAAACACACCGAGAGGGATTTGGCAGGGAAAGCCTGTTACATATACACCACGTGTCGAACCTTCCTTTTCGGCTGTTTTCGGGTCATTCCTGACAGCAACAGCTGTAGAGAGGGGGGGATATATTTAGAATCTTGAGAGAAGAGGAGAGGAAGCTCCTCTCCTGATGATGGGTGCACTGAATGGTGCAAACAAAGAAAGGGAGAAATTAAATGTGCACGCAAGGCAGATGTTAGGAGGGAGAAAAACATCAAGATGCAGCCGTGTGATTCATTTAACTCCCTGGGTTTTAAAAGCGATTGAATCCCCTGTTTTGTTGGAAAACATCCTGATTTAAATAGCAGATTCATTTCTTAGCCTGCACTGTGAACTTTTTCCAGTGAAAATAAACCTTAAAACTTAAATCTACGCAAGTACTCATGCACTGATCCATGATTTAAGCTTTGTTTGTCAGGATTTGTCAAGATGTGTTCTGTAAACTTTGTATTTTCCTGGTTTTGTTAATTTATTGAGTGCATTTTCTGTGTTTTCCTGAGAGTTTCTGTCCCCCTAGTGTTCCTGTTCCCCTGTAGTCCAGTCTTGTGAGTTTTCAGTTTGTGTTTGACCCTGTTTCCCTCCTGTTCTCTCTGTTTTATTCTTGAGATCAGTTTTCAGTGTTTCCTATTTTATTTTGTAGTAGTTGATTCCTCGCGTTTCTCGTCTGGTTTTACTTTCGTAGTTTTCCCTCCTTTGTTAATCACCCATGAGTTTCACCTGCGTCTCGTCTGCCTCACCTGTTGCTCGTTTCCCAGTGTGTATATAGTTCCTGTCTTCCCCCGCTGTCCTTGTTGATTCACTCTGTCATGTGCCAGAGTTAAACAAGAGGGAAAGGACCTAAAATAAAGACAAAAAAGAGGATTTATTACAAAGAACTAAATGAAAAACAACCAAAACTGACATTAAAATGTCCAACCAAAAATTCCAAAAGGCAAAATCCAACTAAAGACACTGAGTTAAAAATCACAAGGAGACGAGAGACTCAAAGATGAAAGATCACGGGGAACAGACACACACACACACACACACAATGAACCAACCAAAACAGAGGGGCAGACAGGGGCTGTTTTCAAATTCGCCTGCTGAACGCAGTATGCCGTACACAGTGCATACTGAGTACTGTGTTCAATAATAGTATGCAGTATGACTGCAAGTCGGCTGTTATTATGTAGTATGCTTGGCCCAGTACAGCTGGTTCCCAGTATTAAAAAGTACACCCTAAAAAGGGACAACACTACAGTGTTGTCCCTTTTTACACTGTTGGTCTTATTACTCAAAATGTTCTCTATTTTAAATTGTATTTTTTTGTAAAGCGTCTTTGAGCACCTGGAAAAGCACGTTATAAATCAAATTTATTATTATTATTATTATTTTGATTATTATTATTATTATTTGGATTATTATTATTATTATTATTATTTTGATTATTATTATTATTATTATTTTGATTATTATTATTATTATTTTGATTATTATTATTATTATTATTATTATTATTATTATTATTATTATCATTATCATTAACAGTAGGTGAAGCAAACTGGTCCAATGCATTCTTTGAAATTTTCCCTGAATTAGTACGTCATCCAGGTATTTTTCGCATACTGCAACTTTCGCATGTGTTCACATACTGCATACTAAATTTTGGGCAAACCAGTTCGTCCTGCTAGTATAGTATACAAATTAAAAACGACCAGGGACTATATACGCACACTGGGAAACAAGCAACAGGTGGTGGTTCCAGAAAGTGGAGAAAATCCCAGAGATCCCGAGAGCAATTCAGCAATTCGTATGACAACAGGAGGCGGAACCAAGTTGTCCGTAGTGTATACAGTCTATGCCTGGGATAATTCAGCAAGAGAAGCCAGAACCACACTCTGCATGTGGCTTTGCTGTAGAAGAGTCAAAGTCCTGAACTTGATCATGAAACTTTGCACACTTTCCAGTAATTGCTAATTTGCTGCAGCTCACACTAAACCATACAACTTAGTATTCATGTAATACTTGTAAACATGTTAACTCTCCAAAAAAGGGCCAAGGGTATCACAGATATTATTCTACTTTTCATACTTGCTTGTATAATGAGGCTTTGAAGGCCAAATTTCCTGTCAGAGAAGCAGGATGTGTCCATAACCTGAGGGCTGAGTCATTTTCTAACTGTAACCGTGGTAGGGATAAGAGAGTCGTTTGATAGTCTGAGCGGATCAGGATAATAGATGAGGGATTTCACAGATATTAAAAGAAGTGAGACTCGATTTGTGTACCAACAGTGAGGATTTGTCAGTTCTGCAACCGTCAAAGTCTGACTATGACCCATTTATTGGATCTGGATGAATTGCCTTCTGCAGTATTCTGGACGACCTCGACTGGCGTGGAAAAGCGTGACTAATACGGTGAGACGCAGTAATCTAGAAATGGTGTGGTGAATGCTTGAATGACTCAGATTAGATGTAAAAATTGAAGGAAAGGTATCTGATCTTTGCTGTGATCTGTTACTGGGCTCCTATCACAAGACAAAAGACTCTCAACGATCCTGGTCAGGTACTTCAGAGGGAACAGGGAGTAGTACCTGAGGAAACCGTCGTTCAGTGTTTGGCCAAAGCACAAATAAAGACAGATGGACAATATCCCTCGCTGACCCATTCCCTTCACAGCTGCTTCCCTTTATAGCTGCTGTTTCCCTCGCTCCCTCCTTATTTTCTGTCTCGTAGAGAACGAGGATTCAAACGGCGGAATAATCAGCAGAGGAAAGTACTTTCCTGGGAGGAAATGTTATTAATCCAGTGGTTAACAACCAAAGAGGCATTACTGTCTCTGGATGAAGCCGTGGAGCACTGGGCCTCCGGCTGTGCACAGCTGAACAGAAAATCTTCAGATAGGCCTTTTTGCTGTACAATAATTGAAAATCCATATCTATAATTACATAGAGCCTTGTACAGTTTATAGCAGAAGCACTGAGGGCTGTATGTGCTCTCAAATCAGAGGAGTACCAAAACAGTCCATTTGAAATACACTGAAAATCAACTTTCAGACAGAAAGCAGTATTTTATTTTGAAACTTTCTTCCTTTAAAACTGAGAAGCAGGTTGTTGACGTCTCGGTTAGAGATGTGCCTCGGGGGTCATGTGTAACAAAGTACCCCATTAAGGTCCTTGGATATTGTTTTCTATGCTGTAATGAGTAACCTAAGGCTTTCCCTATAACATTCAAGTAATTCATAACTTTGGAGATTGATCGAGCTATTAAAAAAATATCATTTTCCTTTTGTCTCAACCCAAAAAGCTGTTTCTGTTTCATCCTGTCTCACGGCAGGTAGCTGCATGCTGGCAGAAAGCAAACGTACAGCTGTGATTCCAACAGAGAAGAGGCTTTGCACTTCGATTTCACACGACAGGACAGGAAAATCAAACCTGCAGTTGTTTCGTCGCACATGTGTAGCTAGCTAATCCAAATAGTGCTGAATGAGATGGCGGTACAGATGATGTTTTCCTCTTAAATTAGAAGCTGCGCCTGAAGGACAAAAGCCAGACAACTTAAAATTTGATGACACATGAAGGTTTGCGATGCTAGCTGCAGTTACTCTTTTCAAGAAGAGCTGTTTCTGACTTCCTTTTTCGAACATGTCAACCATAAAAAACAGATTTAGGACTTTGTGGTCACAAGTGATTCCTTTTCATCTTTCCTTCTGCAGTTTAAAAAGACTCCTCTGAGACAGTTTGCGAATTTAAACTATGATTGAACATGTTTCACACGTCTTTGGCTCCTTTTTTCACTGCCTCCCTTTATTTGAATCGACTGCGTGTTCCTAAATCATCACAGGAGACGTTTTATCTGCTTGAATTTAATCAATACAGCCATCTACGCTTGTCTCATAACTGCTCCGCGTCTAACTTCTTTGTTTTAAGTGTTAACTGCAGTGATTATGTTTTGTGCTTTGAGCGCTGCCAAAATGCAGGTGACCTACACTCAATTATGTGCCTGAATGCATCCTGTGCCAAACAGATGGAGCACCAAAGCTGCCGCTCTGCTGGTGTACGGCTCACGCTACTATCCGAGCAGACATAATGTCAAAGAACAAACCGGAGTGAACAGTTATTCTGGATTTTATTATGCATGCTCGTGTGTGTTTGTGTGTTTCGGTTGAACATCCATTTTTCATGTTTGTCATTCTGCTATGAGATCATTTGAGACACAGCGAGCACCAGGCTGTTTCTGTGGATGCTTGAGTCATATTACGACTTATTTCTTGAGAACTGTATTAACTTTTTCCGAAGAAATCCACTTCCTAATTTTACACCAAGCAGAGGAAAATTGTGAATCTAGTCTCTGTCCATTAAACCCTCTCCTTCTGTTCAGTCCTACTTGTTTCTAACCAGCCTCTTATCATCTATTTACAGATCCCGGTGTTGCTGAGCAGAAATCTTTAACATGACCCCGACCAATCGCATGGTTCACAAACAGAACATACAACGCAGATAGTATAATAACAAGAACAGGCTGAACAAACAGAATAAACATTGTTCAAATTAGCACTTTCCTGTTTTAGCCAAGGTATGTGCAAGTGCAATTAAAACACCATCAATAAATCAATCAATTAATCTTAATTTAGCACACTTCACAAAAAAGCAGGTCAAGACCATACTGTCTTTACAAAGACCCAATGTAAAGGTGGGATTAGATTAAGCCCCATCTTCAACAAAGTCATCTTTGATCATGTTCTCACTTACATGCACACACCTCTAATGAAGGAGATGTAATTATTTGAGCACATTATAATTCCTGACTAGTACAGGTTAATGGTATTCAGAGCAAAGTAGGCTATTAAACATAAACATGTATGCAGTGTAGATATGTGTGGGAATACTAAACGTGACATGAATCACTGATCGCAGTTGAAAACACAGTGAGCTAAGAGCACTTCAACACCTGAGCGTTGAGTTCTCTGGTAGAACAAATCCTGGTCAAGATTTCAGTCAATCAATCTTTATTTATATGGCGCCAATTCACGTGTGCAGCAGCAATCTAGAGGAACCTACGGCATAATGGAGCTCAGAGACTAGTGGTTCTAATGGGACATAATGATTCAAAATTAGTGAATACCTAAAGGCTCACTGCGGGCGGATTGGATGGCATGGATGATAACCATTACATCCACTAGGGGGCAGGCTGGAGTCAAACGTTTCTGACAACAACACACAAAAAGAAGTATGGCGACTGTGGAGGAGCGAGTGATAATGTTTATTTTGCATAGAAGATGAAAACGGAGGCAGCGTTAGAGGAGGCGGTGGTTGGTCAGATCATTAAATGCCTCGCGGTTGGAGGACGGAGAATTCTTTTCTCCAGTGGTACCGATGAGAGAAACTGACAACAATCCTCATTTCCAGCCCCGCCATCGTCTTCTCCTATTCTCTCTAGAGATGCGTATCGGATATTGACAGCAGCAACACTGCCCCCACGGTTTCCGGTGGTACTGCTCCATCTGGCCCATACCCGTGAGTTTAATGATACGCGCAGATATAAAGACTAAAGGAACGTGAAGCACGGGCAGAAAGTTCCTTCCATATCCATATCCATATCCATATCGTATATAATGTCGAGCATAAATGAGACTCGAGGGAGAAATTCTGTTTCTTTGGCAGCTTCACCGACACTTACACTCTCACAGCAGTTTCAAGCATTAACTAGGGCCCCGGTGGGGCACTGTCGGGCCCGAGCCGCGTCGCGCCGCCCCCAGCGCGACCGCCTCCCCCTCCCGATCGCGTCACACTCAAGGTCCAAAGATGGTGTGCGCACTTGTCTGTGGTCATTTCCCATTATAATGAATGGGAGGCGCAGTTTCTACCAAAACGCTCGCTGCAGACAAACTACATGTCCTATTTGAAAAAAGTCTGGACCATGAGTGAGGGCACAAACACAGCTAGTATATATCCAAATGGCAAGTTGCTCCTCCTTTCGGTTTTGCAGAGAGAGCGATGCGTTTGAGCCATTGAGCGATGGGCAGGAAAAACTTGACTTTTTCTCCTGCCATGGGGGGGGCGCTCTTTTGGGGAGAAAAAATTCCTTCACAAATGTGTTGATGGCTGGACATTGCATCATCCTAGAAAACTTGGAGGCCAGTGAGGACAAAAATAAAAAGTTATAAGACTTTTAAATATGAGGATATTTGGGTCCTCTTTGGCGCCCCCTAGAACGTAAACTGTGGGGTGCAGCGTCATGATTTGTACAACTTTGAATGGCCATGGGGTGTAGATTGACCTGAGCAAATTTGAAGCCGATGGGACAAAAGATTTAGGAGGAGTTAGCGAAATTCCAATGTGTGCGGATCGGCAAAAAATGCGAAATAACCCTTTAACCGTACATTTGACAGATACGCCCGCACTGACTTTTTTGTAGATCTTATTGAGATACATGTGTGTGTCAAATTTTGTGTCATTTTGACAAAGCGTAAAGGCGTGACAGTCAACAATGTGTATTTTCGCCTTAGGAGACAAGAAAAAATGGACTTTTTTCTCCTGCCATGGGGGGGCGCTCTTTTGGGGAGTAAAAATTCCTTCACAAATGTGTTGATGGCTGGACATTGCATCATCCTAGAAAACTTGGAGGCCAGTGAGGACAAAAATAAAAAGTTATAAGACTTTTAAAAATGTGGATATTTGGGTCCTCTTTGGCGCCCCCTAGAACGTAAACCGTGGGGTGCAGCGTCATGATTTGTACAACTTTTAATGGCCATGGGGTGTAGATTGGCCTCAGCAAATTTGGTGCCTTTGGAACGAAAGCCTTCGGAAGAGTTAGCGAAATTCCAATGTGTGCGGATCGGCAAAAAATGCGAAATAACCCTTTCACCGTACATTTGACAGATACGCCCGCACTGACTTTTTTGTAGATCTTATTGAGATACATGTGTGTGTCAATTTTTGTGTCAATATGACAAAGCGTAAAGGCGTGACAGTCAATAGTGTGAATTTTCGCCTTAGGAGACAAGAAAAAATGGACTTTTTTCTCCTGCCATGGGGGGGCGCTCTTTTGGGGAGTAAAAATTCCTTCACAAATGTGTTGATGGCTGGACATTGCATCATCCTAGAAAACTTGGAGGCCAGTGAGGACAAAAATAAAAAGTTATACGACTTTTAAGAATGTGGATTTCTGGGTTATCTTTGGCGCCCCCTAGAACGTAAACCGTGGGATGCAGCGTCATGATTTGTACAACTTTTAATGGCCATGGGGTGTAGATTGGCCTGAGCAAATTTGGTGCCGGTGGAACGAAAGCCTTCGGAGGAGTTAGCGAAATTCCAATGTGTGCGGATCGGCAAAAAATGCGAAATAGCCCTTTCACCGTACATTTGACAGATACGCCCGCACTGACTTTTTTGTAGATCTTATTGAGATACACGTGTGTGTCAAATTTTGTGTCATTTTGACAAAGCGTACAGGCGTGACACTCAATCATGTGAATTTTTCACCTTAGGGGGCGCTATGGAGCCATTTTGCATTTGATTTTTTGGGCGACTTCAGAATATCGAATTTTTCACCAGGCCCGGTCGTCCTGCCAAATTTCATGACTTTTCACCAGTGGGAAGTGGGCCATTTTCCAGTTCAAAGGGGCAGAAAAATAATAAGAAGACTAGGGCCCCGTTGGGGCACTGGCGGGCCCGAGCCGTGTCGCGCCGCCCCCAGCGCGACCGCCTCCCCCACCCGATCGCGTCACACTCAAGGTCCAAAGATGGTGTGCGCACTTGTTTGTGGTCATTTACCATTATAATGAACGGGAGGCGCAGTTTCTACCAAAACGCTCGCTGCAGAAAAACTCCATGTCCTATTTGAAAAAAGTCTGGACCATGAGTGAGGGCACAAACACAGCTAAGATATATCCAAATGGCAAGTTGCTCCTCCTTTCGCTTTTGCCGAGAGAGCAGTGCGTTTGAGCCATTGAATGATGAACAGGAAAAACTTGACTTTATTCTCCTGCCATGGGGGGGCGCTCTTTTAAAGAGAAAAAACTCCTTCACAAATGTGTTGATGGCTGGACATTGCATCATCCTAGAAAACATGGAGGCCAGTGAGGACAAAAATAAAAAGTTATAAGACTTTTAAATATGTGGATTTTAGGGTTATATTTGGCGCCCCCTAGAACCTAAACCGTGGGGTGCAGCGTCATGATTTGAATAACTTTTAATGGCCATGGGGTGTAGATTGGCCTGAGCAAATGTGGTGCCGGTGGAACGAAAGCCTTCGGAGGAATTAGCGAAATTCCAATGTGTGCGAATCTGCAAAAAATGCGAAATAACCCTTTAACCGTACATTTTACAGATACGTGGCCATTGACTTTTTCGAAGATCTTATGGAAATACACATGTATGTAAAATTTTGTGTCAATACGACAAAACATACAGGCGTAGCACTCAACAATGTGTATTTTCACCTTAGTGGACAAGAAAAAATTGACTTTTTTCTCCTGCCATGGGGGGGCGCTCTTTTGCCGAGTAAAAATTCCTTCACAAATGTGTTGATGGCTGGACATTGCATCATCCTAGAAAACTTGGAGGCCAGTGGGGACAAAAATAAAAAGTTATAAGACTTTTAAATATGTGGATTTTACGGTTATCTTTGGCTCCCCCTAGAACCTAAACCGTGGGGTGCAGCGTCATGATTTGAATAACTTTTAATGGCCATGGGGTGTAGATTGGCCTGAGCAAATGTGGTGCCGGTGGAACGAAAGCCTTCGGAGGAGTTAGCGAAATTCCAATGTGTGCGGATCGGCAAAAAATGCGGAATAACCCTTTAACCGTACATTTGACAGATACGCGCGCATTGACTTTTTCGTAGATCTTATTGAGATACATGTGTGTGTCAATTTTTGTGTCATTTTGCCAAAGCGTACAGGTGTTACACTCAACAATGTGTATTTTCACCTTAGGGGACAAGAAAAAATGGACTTTTTTCTCCTGCCATGGGGGGCGCTCTTTTGGGGAGTAAAAATTCCTTCACAAATGTGTTGATGGCTGGACATTGCATCATCCTAGAAAACTTGGAGGCCAGTGAGGGCAAAAATAAAAAGTTATAAGACTTTTAAATATGTGGATCTTAGGGTTATCTTTGGCGCCCCCTAGAACCTAAACCGTGGGGTGCAGCGTCATGATTTGAATAACTTTTAATGGCCATGGGGTGTAGATTGGCCTGAGCAAATGTGGTGCCGGTGGAACGAAAGCCTTCGGAGGAGTTAGCGAAATTCCAATGTGTGCGGATCGGCAAAAAATGCGAAATAACCCTTTAACCGTACATTTGACAGATACGCCCGCACTGACTTTTTTGTAGATCTTATTGAGATACATGTGTGTGTCAATTTTTGTGTCATTTTGACAAAGCGTACCGGCGTGACAGTGAATAGTGTGAATTTTCACCTTAGGGGGCGCTATGGAGCCATTTTGCATTTTCTTGTTTGGGCGACTTCGGAATATCAAATTTTTCACCAGGCCCGGTCGTCCTGCCAAATTTCATGAGTTTTCGCCAGTGGGAAGTGGGCCATTTTCCAGTTCAAAGGGGAGGAAAAATAATAACTAGGACCCCGTTGGGGCACTGGCGGGCCCGAGCTGTGTCGCGTCCCCCCCCCAACGCGCTGCCTCCCCGTCCCATTTGTGTCCTCTGGCCATCGCCCTCTCTGGTAACGCCCATCACTGCAAAGACCCTTTTCCTTCATCGGCGTTTGCTGTTCTTCCTGCCAGTGCGTGTTGCTTTCACTTACACTTGCCACATCCAGCCTCTTGAGTGCCTAGCCTATTGGATATCACTGTCACCTACTCAGGACAGTCATTACCTTTCTATTAATACTTTGTTTTTTAATTTCACATTAATTTCCATATTGTATAAACAACTGGAAAAAACTTGAGCCCCTGCCCCTGTATAATCATGTGCACGTCTCTGTTCTAGCTCTAAGGTGAATCTTTACTGCTCATGTTCTCCTCAGAAGCACTCACCTCACTCCCCTCAGGTTACTGTACACATGCACCAACTGCCTGCTTCAGGTTTGGATGGAGCTTCATGGTTGTCTTTTGGAGAAATGACCAGTCAAGTTGTGTTTGAAATTTGATTTTTTTCAGGGGCAAAAGGAGCCTCTGCATTCTTGTCAAATATGTAAATAGCATGTTTTTGCAGGTGCTAAAAACCAGACTCTGAGTGTGTGTGTGTGCGTGTGTGTGTGTGTGTCTGTGTGTGTGTGTGTGTGTGTGCGTTCAAGTCACATGACATATTTAACCGGATGTAGCTGCAAGACGGAGCCTCGTTGACTCCGTTTCAACTTATCTCAAAAGTGAGGACCTCAACCTATATACCAGTTTTTAAATTGTGTTGATAGGCCAAATAAAACCAGAGTTATGATAAATTATGTCCGCGATACTTGTTTTCTGCTTATTTTGATCACGTTCGGCGCTCGATCGCGCTGTATGAGACAGGAAAACATAGCATGCAGACATTAGCGACAGGTCTTACAGGCGGAAAAGGCTTGCCAAAGGAAAAAAAAACACACCACAACATCTCTCCTATTGGTGGAAATCTTCACCACAACAACCAATCCAAAATTATATGGTGACTGATTGACGAGGGGCGGGCGCTTACGTTCTTCCTGCAATATGAGAAGGGAGGGAGGGACTCTCAGCAGGGATGCAGTCTGGGACACGTAGTTGCAAACTTAGCGACTTTGTTGTTAGATTCAATGACTTTTCAGACCCCCTAACGACTTTTTTTTTAGAAAGAAAGTGACTTTTATCGACTTCTTCTGGAGTTTAGAGACTCTGACATGAAGCAGGCTTTCCTTACTGAGGAGTTAGCAACGCTGCTAAGGGTGCAGAGCCACACATGCGCTCCGAGCTCTGCATGGGAGACTGAAGCTGACAGAGCTGCAGCAGTTAGCAGGTTTCACCCTCAGAGACCACCAGGGGTTCATGTTGAGGCATTTTCAGTTTTTTTTTTTTTTTGCCATAGACACTGTCAGCACAATCTGCAGTTACACTAACAAAAATGCTGCAAAAAACAAAGAATTATGGAAAAATTACACATGGACTAACATAGAGGAGGATCTACACAAGTTTTTTACATCATGTTTTACATCATGCATCATTTACATCATGGTTTTTTGTAGTGGCATAAATAAAAAGTGACATTTGTGAGACTATACAGTGTTTTGTAAATAATTTTACAAAGAACACCTGGGCCATTGCCTGCATTTTGATGTAAATAGAGGTAAATTACTATGTTCTTTGTTAAAAATTTGCATATGTTTTGAAGTTTACAATTTTTATTTGAAGTTTAAGTTTTAAAAACAGTTCATCACACATATTTGTGGTTTTCACAGTAAAAACGTTACTTTTTTCCACTCGGATTTTATGTTTTGTGTGTGAATTTGGGTCCAATGTGTAAATATAGTATGTCAAAATGATAAAATAACTGTAAATTGACACAGGTGAGGTTGTGCTGAAAAAAATGATACCAGGCAAGGCAAGGTAAAAATTTTGTAAGAGGAAATATAAAGGTAAAATCTAAAGTAGTCAAAAACGGCCAATAGTGACTCACAGACTCCACAGACAAGTCCCTTTGGCGCCACTCAGTGGGCAAAACTACTTTGTCTACTGTAATGTATATTTGGGTCATCTTTGGCACCCCCTAAAACGTAAACCGTGGGGTGCAGCGTCATGATTTTTACAACTTTGAATGGCCATGGAGTGTAGATTGGCCTGAGCAAATTTGGTGTCAGTGGGACGAAAGCCTTAGGAGGAGTTAGCGAAATTCCAATGTGTGCGAATCGGCAAAAAATGCAAAATAGCCCTTTTACCGTACATTATACAGATACGCGCTCTTTGACTTTTTCGTAGATCTAATTGAGATACACATGATTGTCAATTTTTGTGTCATTTTGCCAAAGCGTACAGGCGTGACAGTCAACAATGTGTATTTTCACCTTAGGGGACAAGAAAAAATGGACTTTTTTCTCCTGCCATGGGGGGGCGCTCTTTTGGGGAGTAAAAATTCCTTCACAAATGTGTTGATGGCTGGACATTGCATCATCCTAGAAAACTTGGAGGCCAGTGAGGACAAAAATAAAAAGTTATAAGACTTTTAAAAATGTGGATTTTTGGGTTATCTTTGGCGCCCCCTAGAACGTAAACCGTGGGGTGCAGCGTCATGATTTGAATAACTTTTAATGGCCATGGGGTGTAGATTGGCCTGAGCAAATGTGGTGCCGGTGGAACGAAAGCCTTCGGAGGAGTTAGCGAAATTCCAATGTGTGCGAATCGGCAAAAAATGCGGAATAACCCTTTAACCGTACATTTGACAGATACGCGCGCATTGACTTTTTTGTAGATCTTATTGAGATACATGTGTGTGTCAATTTTTGTGTCATTTTGACAAAGCGTACAGGCGTGACACTCAACAATGTGTATTTTTACCTTAGGGGACAAGAAAAAATGGACTTTTTTCTCCTGCCATGGGGGGGCGCTCTTTTGGGGAGTAAAAATTCCTTCACAAATGTGTTGATGGCTGGACATTGCATCATCCTAGAAAACTTGGAGGCCAGTGAGGGCAAAAATAAAAAGTTATAAGACTTTTAAATATGTGGATTTTAGGGTTATCTTTGGCGCCCCCTAGAACCTAAACCGTGGGGTGCAGCGTCATGATTTGAATAACTTTTAATGGCCATGGGGTGTAGATTGGCCTGAGCAAATGTGGTGCCGGTGGAACGAAAGCCTTCGGAGGAGTTAGCGAAATTCCAATGTGTGCGGATCGGCAAAAAATGCGAAATAACCCTTTAACCGTACATTTGACAGATACGCCCGCACTGACTTTTTTGTAGATCTTATTGAGATACATGTGTGTGTCAATTTTTGTGTCATTTTGACAAAGCGTACAGGCGTGACAGTCAATAGTGTGAATTTTCACCTTAGGGGGCGCTATGGAGCCATTTTGCATTTTCTTGTTTGGGCGACTTCGGAATATCAAATTTTTCACCAGGCCCGGTCGTCCTGCCAAATTTCATGAGTTTTCGCCAGTGGGAAGTGGGCCATTTTCCAGTTCAAAGGGGAGGAAAAAGAAAAAAGAAACAAAGAAAAACCCCTTGGGGAATAATAGGGCTCTCGCAGCTGCTTAGCAGCTACGCTCGGGCCCTAACTAGGACCCCGTTGGGGCACTGGCGGGCCCGAGCTGTGTCGCGTCCCCCCCCCAACGCGCTGCCTCCCCGTCCCATTTGTGTCCTCTGGCCATCGCCCTCTCTGGTAACGCCCATCACTGCAAAGACCCTTTTCCTTCATCGGCGTTTGCTGTTCTTCCTGCCAGTGCTTGTTGCTTTCACTTACACTTGCCACAGCCAGCCTCGTGAGTGCCTAGCCTATTGGATGTCACTGTCACCTACATAGGACAGTCATTACCTTTCTATTAATACTTTGTTTTTTAATTTCACATTAATTTCCATATTGTATAAACAACTGGAAAAAACTTGAGCCCCTGCCCCTGTATAATCATGTGCACGTCTCTGTTCTAGCTCTAAGGTGAATCTTCACTGCTCATGTTCTCCTCAGAAGCAGTCACCTCACTCCCCTCAGGTTACTGTACACATGCACCAACTGCCTGCTTCAGGTTTGGATGGAGCTTCATGGTTGTCTTTTGGAGAAATGACCAGTCAAGTTGTGTTTGAAATTTGATTTTTTTCAGGGGCAAAAGGAGCCTCTGCATTCTTGTCAAATATGTAAATAGCATGTTTTTGCAGGTGCTAAAAACCAGACTCTGAGTGTGTGCATGTGTGTGTGTGTCTGTGTGTGTGTGTGTGTGCGTTCAAGTCACATGACATATTTAACCGGATGTAGCTGCAAGACGGAGCCTCGTTGACTCTCCGTTTCAACTTATCTCAAAAGTGAGGACCTCAACCTATATACCAGTTTTTAAATTGTGTTGATAGGCCAAATAAAACCAAAGTTATGATAAATTATGTCCGCGATACTTGTTTTCTGCTTATTTTGATCACGTTCGGCGCTCGATCGCGCTGTATGAGACAGGAAAACATAGCATGCAGACATTAGCGACAGGTCTTACAGGCGGAAAAGGCTTGCCAAAGGAAAAAAAAAACACACCACAACATCTCTCCTATTGGTGGAAAACTTCACCACAACAACCAATCCAAAATTATATGGTGACTGATTGACAAGGGGCGGGCGCTTACGTTCTTCCTGCAATATGAGAAGGGAGGGAGGGACTCTCAGCAGGGATGCAGTCTGGGACACGTAGTTGCAAACCTAGCGACTTTGTTGTTAGATTCAATGACTTTTCAGACCCCCTAACGACTTTTTTTTAGAAAGAAAGTGACTTTTATCGACTTCTTCTGGAGTTTAGAGACTCTGACATGAAGCAGGCTTTCCTTACTGAGGAGTTAGCAATGCTGCTAAGGGTGCAGAGCCACACATGCGCTCCGAGCTCTGCATGGGAGACTGAAGCTGACAGAGCTGCAGCAGTTAGCAGGTTTCACCCTCAGAGACCACCAGGGGTTCATGTTGAGGCATTTTCAGTTTTTTTTTTTTTTTTTTGCCATAGACACTGTCGGCACAATCTGCAGTTACACAAACAAAAATGCTGCAAAAAACAAAGAATTATGGAAAAATTACACATGGACTAACATAGAGGAGGATCTACACAAGTTTTTTACATCATGTTTTACATCATGCATCATTTACATCATGTTTTTTTGTAGTGGCATAAATAAAAAGTGACATTTGTGAGACTATACAGTGTTTTGTAAATAATTTTACAAAGAACACCTGGGCCATTGCCTGCATTTTGATGTAAATAGAGGTAAATTACTACGTTCTTTGTTAAAAAAATTTGCATATGTTTTGAAGTTTACAATTTTTATTTGAAGTTTAAGTTTTAAAAACAGTTCATCACACATATTTGTGGTTTTCACAGTAAAAACGTTACTTTTTTCCACTCGGATTTTATGTTTTGTGTGTGAATTTGGGTCCAAATATAGTATGTCAGAATGATAAAATAACTGTAAATTGACACAGGTGAGGTTGTGCTGAAAAAAATGATACCAGGCAAGGCGAGGTAAAAATTTTGTAAGAGGAAATATAAAGGTAAAATCTAAAGTAGTCAAAAACGGCCAATAGTGACTCACAGACTCCACAGACAAGTCCCTTTGGCGCCACTCAGTGGGCAAAACTACTTTGTCTACTGTAATGTATATTTGGGTCATCTTTGGCGCCCCCTAAAACGTAAACCGTGGGGTGCAGCGTCATGATTTTTACAACTTTGAATGGCCATGGAGTGTAGATTGGCCTGAGCAAATTTGGTGTCAGTGGGACGAAAGCCTTAGGAGGAGTTAGCGAAATTCCAATGTGTGCAAATCGGCAAAAAATGCAAAATAGCCCTTTTACCGTACATTATACAGATACGCGCTCTTTGACTTTTTCGTAGATCTAATTGAGATACACATGATTGTCAATTTTTGTGTCATTTTGCCAAAGCGTACAGGCGTGACAGTCAACAATGTGTATTTTCACCTTAGGGGACAAGAAAAAATGGACTTTTTTCTCCTGCCATGGGGGGGCGCTCTTTTAGGGAGTAAAAATTCCTTCACAAATGTGTTGATGGCTGGACATTGCATCATCCTAGAAAACTTGGAGGCCAGTGAGGACAAAAATAAAAAGTTATAAGACTTTTAAAAATGTGGATTTTTGGGTTATCTTTGGCGCCCCCTAGAACGTAAACCGTGGGGTGCAGCGTCATGATTTGAATAACTTTTAATGGCCATGGGGTGTAGATTGGCCTGAGCAAATGTGGTGCCGGTGGAACGAAAGCCTTCGGAGGAGTTAGCGAAATTCCAATGTGTGCGAATCGGCAAAAAATGCGGAATAACCCTTTAACCGTACATTTGACAGATACGCGCGCACTGACTTTTTTGTAGATCTTATTGAGATACATGTGTGTGTCAATTTTTGTGTCATTTTGACAAAGCGTAAAGGCGTGACACTCAACAATGTGTATTTTCACCTTAGGGGACAAGAAAAAATGGACTTTTTTCTCCTGCCATGGGGGGGCGCTCTTTTGGGGAGTAAAAATTCCTTCACAAATGTGTTGATGGCTGGACATTGCATCATCCTAGAAAACTTGGAGGCCAGTGAGGGCAAAAATAAAAAGTTATAAGACTTTTAAATATGTGGATTTTAGGGTTATCTTTGGCGCCCCCTAGAACCTAAACCGTGGGGTGCAGCGTCATGATTTGAATAACTTTTAATGGCCATGGGGTGTAGATTGGCCTGAGCAAATGTGGTGCCGGTGGAACGAAAGCCTTCAAAGGAGTTAGCGAAATTCCAATGTGTGCGGATCGGCAAAAAATGCGAAATAACCCTTTAACCGTACATTTGACAGATACGCCCGCACTGACTTTTTTGTAGATCTTATTGAGATACATGTGTGTGTCAAATTTTGTGTCATTTTGACAAAGCGTACAGGCGTGACACTCAATAGTGTGAATTTTCACCTTAGGGGGCGCTATGGAGCCATTTTGCATTTTCTTGTTTGGGCGACTTCGGAATATCAAATTTTTCACCAGGCCCGGTCGTCCTGCCAAATTTCATGAGTTTTCGCCAGTGGGAAGTGGGCCATTTTCCAGTTCAAAGGGGAGGAAAAAGAAAAAAGAAACAAAGAAAAACCCCTTGGGGAATAATAGGGCTCTCGCAGCTGCTTAGCAGCTACGCTCGGGCCCTAATAATAATAACAAAAGAAGGAAACTACAGGAACAAGAGGGCTCTCGCAGCTGCTTAGCAGCTACGCTCGGGCCCTAAAGAAGAAGAAAGAAGAATCCATCAGGAATAATAGGGCTCTCGCAGCTGCTTAGCAGCTACGCTCGGGCCCTAAAAATGACCATATAAAAATTGTTGGTCCTATTCCCGGTGATCTTGTTTACTTTGTATATCATTAAAAAAAAAGAAAAACATCAATATGAACCTCTGACTATTTCTTAAATGTCAAAAAACTCATAAGAACTTCAAGTTGTTTTATTTTTCCATCAGACATAAAATGGAAATACTATTGCTCGGTTTTGGTTTAAAAGTTAACATAATTCCTCCTCGGCCAATTTGCTTAAGCTTGTCTTCATCTGTTTTTACTGTATCTACTAATTTCTGCTCTTGGAAACAGTGATTGATGAATTTAACCCGACAGAAACTGTGCATCGAAATTAAAAGAAAAAGCTAAAAGAGAAACTTCAGAATTGGGTTTAAATCATCTGTTCGTTTCCAAAGCAAGCAGCTGCTTTAGAAATAGAAGAAGTCATCCGGTTCATTTTAATCTCTGAGTATTGATGGAAGAGCCCATAAGCTGTCTTTTTACTACAAGAAAACAGGAATTTCGATATAAAGCTTCTGCAGCAGTGATTCAGAGCCAGTATCCCTGTAATCTTGCCCAAATGCAGCTTGTACTCCAAGATAATTCTGTCAATACCCTGAGTACCTCGGTACCTGTGCAAGCTACAATTACTGTGATTAAAATTAAAGCTGAGGCTTCCAGATGCACTTGTACAATCAATAAACACAGAGCATTGATTGTACCATAATCATTGTAATTATTTCATCTCTTGAGCTGATAAATTTAGACAGGCAGGCAGTCATAATTTCAGCATGAAATGTTTTTTTCTTCCAAATAAAAAAAAAAGAGGAGGGAACATCATGCATCGAGTAGCACAATTGAATAAATCTTCCAGAGGCACTTATTCAGAGCCAAACTCAGAGTCTGAAATGACAGATGCATGGTATTATTCAGAATGATTGCACATGGTTTGAATATCATTAAATGTAGTATAAGGACACAAGAAGAACAGCATCAGTGATTTATTATTTTACAGTAAATTTGGCAGCCTGCTGGAGTGAAAGAAGGTTGTTTAAGACTTCCTGCAGAAGACTGACAGTCTGATTCCTCAGCTTAAATGCTGCGAAGCCACAAAAGCGGCAAAAAAACTGCCTGTTCTTGAAATTTCTGGAGGGCTGACTGTTTTGGGCGGGGTCACAATAGCTGTAGGGAAATGGATGAGGCATCACATGACCTTCATGATACAACGACCCTAACAGCCTTTGTTCCCCAGCTTGAAAAGGACCACAAGCAGCAACCATCAGGGCGCAGGAGTCACTGTTGGTTTTCATCATATCGAGGGCACTAAAAGGAGCATATTTCGTGGGTGTGTGTGTGTGGGTGGAGGGGGGAGGAGTAGTAGGGGCATTGCCAATACTCTGCATGCAAACCTTTCCCCCTCCAGCCACCTTCTGCTCTCTAATTGCAGCATGTCGACAATCTAAGCACATTCACAGTTGGATGAATGTGCGTTTGTTTCAGCTTTTTCGGACTCAAAATCATTATCCAATCGGAAACTTTCTCTCAAATGGAGTATTAACTTTCAGCGGAGAGATGAACGCCGTCTGATTGCCGATTTAGTTTGGGTGTGTTTGCCTCTGGGGAGTAGTGTGTAGATATGTGTGAGTCACATTGACTTAACAGATCAATCCTCAGCTCGCAGGTGCAGCAGATGGGTATCACTTTAACATCAAAATTTTCTGAGCTGTGTGTGTGCCAGGGATTGTTTTGGATGGGATGAGCTTACAAAAAACAAAGTAAATAAATAATAAGCAGCTTTGGCAGTTTTTCAGAGAGGCTGACCCAGAAACAGGAGTCCAACATCAGGAGACATTTCAGTTTACAGCCAAATAAAGACGCTATTGTTCCCCTTGTATTTAATACTTAAGCTAATAAATGGTTGAAATGACACGTATCTGCATGTCAGCTGAATGCACTGGGTAATACAAATACTGCAAAAACAGACAAATAAGGGATGAGGTTTAAATTGTATTCTTGCAGGCAGACAACCTATTGGAAAAGCACTTCTATGTTGTTGTGAAATGATGCTGGGACACTCCAACCGTTTAAGTACTACGGTTAGAGAGTGAAGCCAGGACACACGGATTTAATTAGCCCTTTGAATCAGATATCAGTCCGATATCAACAAAAAAATCAAATCTCGCATTAAATCGGCCTGCATCTAAAATCTCTGATATTAGCACTCCGATACAAGCAGTCCATTCCAGACTCCACTCCAGCACCTCTATCGAGCAGCACCCAGATCCAGCATGCAGAGCCCATGTGATCACAACAGCAGTGTGTACTAAGGTACTAACAAGGAGAAGGAGTGATGTCGGCCCTGTGGCAGTATTTTTCATAAAAGTCTGAAAAAAATGTTGCAGCTGAGTTCAAAACTTGCATCATGCACAAGTTTGTGATAATATTGGATCAATGTCAGTATCAGACGATACTTAAGGCTATATTATCGGTATCGCATCATAGGTACAAAAGTTGTATTGGGACACCCCTAGCCCGTTGTATTCTTCTCCTCAGCAACATTACAGCTTTTTTACAGTATTCATTTCTACATTGATTGTATATGTGGTCATCGTAAATAAAACAGACACAAAGCTAACTCTGGTCAAATATATACAAACTTAAGACAATTCATGAGCCATAGTCGGTTGAACCCACGCACATTTAACATACATAGTTAGCATTACTTTCTTCTTCATGAACACACAATCAACTTGAAAGGACAACTTAGTATTAATTGCAGCATTTAGCTGTAATCTCCTCTATCGCTAAAGGCTCTTAGGTAGGGTGGCCATATTCTGGATCCTCAAAAAGAGGACAGGACTACACGGGGGCGGAGTCACAGAGTCACACATAGTAAATTTTGAGAGTCTTTCAAATCAGGTCAAGTGTTTTTTACGCACTTCTACTCAATAAGTCCATGCGACACAAACTCGGACATTTGAAGGATTTTATAAACTCCCCCGGACAAAGCCGGACATCCCCCAAAATAGAGGATAAGTCCATGTAAAAGTGGACGTCTGGTCATCCTATTTTGGGACCCCCAAACTGCCCGCATCTATGCCTTAACAAAAATGGGTTAAATCCCACGGACCCCAGGCTGCCTGAACAGGTGCCTGAACAAAAACTGGTTTCACACATAGTCAGAAAAAAAAACAGGAAATTTATAACACAACCACTGCATTCAGCAACATAGAGCTATAGCATCAACTACTATAGGTACAGCATTCATAGTTGTGAGGTATGAACAGATACAGTGCTTGCAAACTTGCAGAGATTTACGTCACATCCTTCTACTGGTCATTTGTCGTATTAAAGGTACAGTGTAAACGGTTGCACTAGATTTGCAGGACCAAATGCAAACCTCGCAGCAGCAGGCGGTTTCAACGCTGTTGTGGGTAGAAGTAGGCACCTACAAATTTCCTGATAGTGATCGACAACAAGCCAAAAGGTCGAGGCTTTGTTAAGTTGTAAAAAATATTTTAAAGTTTTGATTCAAAAAAGGGAGCCAATGTTATCATACTTTAATGCACGGTCAGAACTTTCTCAGCTCTAAAATCAACACTGCTGTGTTTGCAAAATGAAAGAAATGTCAGGAAAAGTCATAAGCACTGAAACTGAATGCAAAAATTACAACTGAATATTACTTTTCCATCATCATTGCACAATAAATATGCTTATAATAACTCCCATTTATTTCCTTTAATCTAATTTGTTGCTGTGATTCATTCATGTAGCATGCATGACAGTTTAAGTCCTAATAATACAGCTGCAGCCTTGATGGTATCAAACCGAGCGGTATGGATTAATAAACCTGCAATTTTACATCCAACAAGAAAACTTCATGTTCTAGTGTTTGATCAATGAAGTCCCTTTCGAAGGACGATTTTAGGAAAGCACAATCAGTAACTTTCATTGATATTTTCTAAGAGTAAAATCATGCAGGCAGACAAAGTCTTTTGCAGGTCTCAGGGTCATTTTGATAACTATTCATCTGAAGGCATTCCAAACCAGAGAGCAGCTTTGTTTTTGCAGCAGTGAAGCGTTACAGGTTTGAAAAGCTCATTTCTCTGCTGATATTTATTTAAGATCTGAAAACGCTTTTTGTTTCAATTCTGCAGCTGGGATGTGAAGTTGGCCAGTTTAGTTTCAAAGGCTAGATGGACTATGATAAAATAAATAAATGATATAATAAATGAAAAAATGATCTTACTGGCTCAAATGTGTTTGACCCTCTACATGGCAAAACCATCATTTTTGAATCCAGCGAAAGGATAAAGTAATGTTTTGAAGCTCAAGTAAGGAATTTTAGGTTTGTGTCAACTTTGGCACCCCCTGTGGTCAAAGCAGTTTTTGCTCATCTTGTCTTTTACATGCTTTGTGTCATTCTGCTAAATTTTAGTAATTAAAAGCATCATTTAGGTTGAATTTGTCACAGGGTTCCTACACAGTTGGATTTTCCATACTTTTCCATACCCTCCTTTTTAGAAATATTTTTGGAAATATCTACTTTTCTTATTTAGAAAACAGTATTTTAGAACTGTGGTAATAGTCTGGAAACAAATATTTTTCCGTTCTTTATTTTTCATTTTCCATACTTTTTAAGACCTGGAAATTAATCAAATTTGTTTCCATACTTTTCCATACTTGGGTACGAACCCTGAAATTTTTAAACTGAGCTTTTCCATAGCTGCTCAGCTGATATTTACCTCCTCGTGCTTATTCGAGATTTTAAAAATTAAAGTACTAATAAAAACTCTCATTCTTGTCACTCATGCTCTTGTTTGCTTTGTTAACCTCGGTGTAAATTTCAATCTGTTACATAAACTTCAAAAACTCCTCACTTTGAGCTTTAACTCGTCCTCTTGTAGTATTTTCAGCTGAATTTCAGGTGCAGTTTCCTTTTCCCCCTGATCTCTGAATAATAAAAAAAAACTCTCTTTCACTACAAAGACAACCCTCTGAACACAGTTTTTAAAATTGCATGCTTCCCAGCGCTGTCCTTGAACCCTGTACCACATTTATAAGTGACAAACAGACAGGGGTGGTCTGTGTACTCATGCAGAAGCACGCTCCTTTTTTTGGACCTCGCTGTCCGCCCAGCCTTAAAAATATGTTTGAAAACAGTTTGTGGGCAGGAAACTGCTGTTTTGCAAGTATTTTGAGTGATTTTTTTGTGTGTGTGTATCAGTGATGTTCCTCTGAAGCCAGAGCACAGAGCAAGTGGTGATCTCTTCAGATGATATGCAAGGCACATCTCGCCACTGACACACGGGGAATTGGATGTCCCAGCAGAGCCAGGGGCTGCCTGTGCTTGACTGCGCCCTCCTGACATCACCCATCACTCTTTTGTAGCTGGAGACCTCCTCTGCCCATCATCCTCTCCCTCTCAACCATGTCTCTGGCAGACTTTTGAAGGATGAGGTTTACCCCGGGGACAGCTTACCCTGCTGGGCACATGCATCCCTCTCTCAGAGTCACGACTTGTGCTCCAGACGGGTCCAAACATGGTCTCATTTCTCTGGGAGGAGTGACGCTTTATTACAGATTGTCATAAACTTGAATAGATTAGTTTAGGGAGTAAAAATAAAACTCAGACAATGATGATGAGAGCCATTTTAAACGGAGCTGTCATTTGATTGCCTCTAATATATTCCTGCTTTCTCATTTCTCACTTGTCGTTTTTTTTTTCAATTCAAATTCATTTCTAATTGACATCCCATCACACTTATTCCATTTTTAATCCCAACTGTCCCCTTCACTCTTGTCTTACGCTTTCAATTTTTGTTGTAATAATTCATTATTTTCAGGCTTTTCCTGACTGCAGATTGTAAAGCTCACGCTGTGCTGAACAGCAGCGCAATCGGAGAGAGAAATAAAAATAGCCTGACATGTCAGCAGGGGTTTGTGATGGCCTCTTTTCCTCAGAGAACTCATATTAAGTCCCATCCACGTCTTATACAATAGACTAATGGAGCAAAGCCTGCAAAGCTAGTACAGCCTGACAACTTGAGTCACATTAAGTGGAGGTTTTCAGCACATATCTCTGAGAGTTTCCTCGCTCCTATAGTACAACCTTCTGCAAAGGCCTTCATTTATAACAGACAATGGCTTCCAGCTCCGACTTATGAGAAAATAACATTGTCAATGTTCGCAGTTCAAGAGTTACTCAAGTTCATCCAAGCCACATGAAGTTTTATTCATATAATGCAAGAAAGTTTGTTAATGAGATTTAATTCAAACCTTAACTGTGAGCTTTTCAAATCAAACACTTGAGCATATACAGATATATAAGGTTTGTTTTGACTGAGTGAATGAAATATAGATTTAAGCAGTTTTCATGGAGCAGGTAAGGTCACTTTTCTGCTCGAAGAGTCAATGACCAGTTTCAATAAAAAAAAAAGTCACTTTTCAGAAGAAGCTACCCAACTTTTCATCGCTGACTCAATGCATAAGCTATCTGGGTGTGGAGACTTCTTTACCTTCGTGTGAACTACAAAGTCCTTTGAAATTTGATGAAAATTTTAAATTTGTCTTTCTCCGCTTTCTATATCTTCCCTGTAAATAAAGCAGAGTCCCTCATGATGGTAAAAAGTGCTGAAACTTACTGCCACTGAACTTCAGGATAGGTCAGTGAAGTTTCTCCTGTGAGATGGAGAAACTTTACTTGATCAAAGGGACAAAAAAGTCACAGTCTAGGTTGTTGTTTAAACTTTACGCTATGTGAACTTTCATAACGGTCCAAAGTTTTTGCTATTGTTGTCCTCACCACTATGTTGGCTATCACATCCCCTCTGCCTCTTCACTACCCCTTACAGTTCATGTGAATACTGCACCATATACGGTTGGGTCGGGCTATTTTTTAAACACATGCATGGCCAATGCACCAAACCACCACTTTGTGCATCCTTAACCTTCATAGCACATGGACTAACATTGTTGTCATCAGTAAAACAGAATGATTGCCATAGTAATCCACAACAAAAGACTTATTCACCCCTAAACTTTCACTGTGTTTAAATGATGCGGGCCACCAGTCCTGGCAGCCAGTTTTGCCACCGTCCTCTTCCTCTCCACCTGTGTAGTCTTTCTCCTCTAACGTCTCACGTCTTGTCTCCTTTGGTCAAATGTCACACAGCAAATTCAGCTTTAACTTAGATGTATTACACTCAGAATCCAGTGAACGAATGTACAAACTGACAACAGGCATAGACCAGGGTGACCATTTTCTGAATCCCCAAAAAGAGGACACGACTACACGGGGGCAGAGTCACGGAGTCGCGCGGAGTAAATTTTTCCCGCTTCTAACTCATCAAGTCCACGCAACAGTAGGCAGAGACTTCAATGCGGTCATATGAGGTATTCATGACAACAATGCCCACAAGAGCATCGGTTGCCATGGTTTCCAGTGCCGGAATGTACAAACTGATGACAGGTATAGACATCACGATGCCAACTAGTGGTTGGGTGGAGTACTGCAGAAGTAGGCCGACACTCCATTGCAGTAGTATGTGGTATTGATGACGACACTGGCCACAAGAGAACCAGCAACATAGATTCAAGACAGACTTAAAATTCAGGGGGCCCTGTATTATACTCTGCAATCGTTGACAAAAAGCCCAAAACAAATTGCAGCAAGTTAATGTGGTTGATCGGTGCAGAAAAAAAGTATTAAGAGCAGAAAATAATTTAGTTTGTGCGTCGGAAATGGGCTTGAATAAATCACCCTGTTTTGCTGTTACCAATCACACTTAGTCACTAGATGATTATCCCTGAAGCAAAGCACATCCTCTGCATTTGTGGATATCATGAAACAGCACATTGTATACGTGTATTCCTTCATTTTAAAAGTGTCTACTGTAGTGTTTATCGTAGCAACAATATGACCTTTTCTTGCGTATCACTTTTAAAAGGAGGACAGAGCTTTTATGTCGCTTTGATGGAGGCGTATTAGCAGGAAAACGCCACTAAAAGATAACAAGTCTTCAAACTTGGGTTCCTTTTTCGCAAAGCTGCTATCTCACTGTTTAAGATTAGCACTGTGTCAAATTAACTCGATGGCAGCCCACCTGTCTCACAGCAGATGAAATCACCCCATCATCTTCTGCTCTCAAGAAGAAGCAAAAGGCAGAAAAGAGTCATCATGGTGCTGTTCTTTTTTCTCCCTATTTTTACCAAAAACTTCAAGATGTTTTCTTCAGACCTCCAACCTTAAAATCTGTTCTCTACAGAGCTGTCAGGTACGTCAGTCCAATTCCTCACCCGGGAACTGAGACAATCAAAAAGGGAGGAATCAGACTATTTTGGCATGCTGCAACTCGAGCAGAACAAGTATGACTAAACTTGAATCTTTGTGGTCGTCTTATGAATAATTCACTTTTTCTCTTGGTAGCAGTGATTACACAACCCGGTCTCTTTCCTTTTGTGTTTCTGCATGTTAAACAGGGAGCCGACCCGCTATTGATTGTCTGTTTTTTAATTAAAAAGTCAGACAAATAATGAAAAAGGAAGACGTGCCCACTTACTCTTACTTTAGCTCACCTCTGTGTGGTTGACAGCGTCTGACAGAACGGGCTTCCACATCATCCTCTGTTTGTCAACACGCATCAATCCTGCAATTATGCGCTGAGACAGGATAGAGAAGGCGGTGAGGGGTGACTCATTTTAAGAAAGAAACAATTTGCAAAATACTGGAAGCCATTCAGACAAGTGACTAAGTCAGTGAAACACATTATCTAAACCGAAATAAACAAGTCCAACATTAACAGAGTAAATATTGTGCATTACAGTTGTTGTTTTGTGCAGGACTGGGCATCAAAATGAGTCAACGTTCGCAAAAAATAATACAGTTTATTAGCTTGAACATTAAATATCAAGTTGATTGTTATTAACTGGTAGATCGCAGACTAGTTCTCAGTCGATTGTGAGAAGTAGCCTTGACAACGGTAACTCTTGTCATCAATCCGCGCTTTGATAGTATTTTTTTCATGGCTGTGCTGGGCCAGCGCCATGCCCCTTCTCCGTTGTAGCTGTCAGGTCAGGTCACACGTGTGCCGAGAGACGCTTGCTAGTTAGCAGTTAAAACAAAGGGATATGGCAGACGCAAAAAGACGCAAAACTCACTATTTTCACCCGGAGTGGGAAGATGTTTACTTTTTTTGTCTACTCAAACTCAAGGTCCAGCCTGGCCGTACCAAAGAAGGGCAATTTGGAACGACATTTCAAGACAGTACACAAAAGTTATGAGACAGATTTTCCTGCTAAAACACCACTACACTCCCCTAAAGTGCGGGAATCTAACAATGATCTTGCCGCACAGCAGTCTGTTTTTACCAGACTGAACACCAAGGGTAAAGCTGCAACAATGGCATCTTATCGAGTTACTCATGCTCTCGCTAACACAAGAAGTCATGCAAGGACGGCGAAGTTGTTAAGTTAGCCTTCTTCGAGGCTGCTGATGCACTTTTTGAAGTCACACTGAGGTAAAATGAATTGATTGTCATCTGGATGTGTTGATTTCTTGTGTGCACTGTAAATAAATATGTCACTGATAGGCTGTTGGCAATGTATGAACGAGTAGATCTCAAAAGACTTAAAACTTGATTTAAAAAAGGTTGGGCACCCCTAACATAAAAAATTACCACATAGCTACTTTCTGGTCTACATGATGAATTCTTGGTCAATATCAAAGTCCCTCCTCCTCTCTATACTCAGTGAAAACATGTTTCATGCTTCTTTTTGGACTGGGTTAGATTGGGATGTTAATTGGGCTCCATATTTAGTCTCTTCCTCAATTTCTTCCACAGATTAAAACATGAAATCTTTTCATCCTCGTGGAGCACAGTCTTTAGATTCCATTTCCATCCTAAATGGCGTTCTTCCTCTCTTAAAAAAGACTTTTTGGAATATATTCTGGCAGCTTATTATTTCTTGTGTTATTCAGTATTTGAACTCTTCAGGGTCAATGAAGTTTTAGTGTTCAAGACTTAAAGAGTGATGAATACTTTGTTCGCAAAAACCAAACTATCCTTGTGGCTTTTAATTTAAGTAAAATGTAAAAAACTTGAATGCTGGGGTGAACTGTTGCAGAAAAAGATGTTAAACAAAAATTTGATCCAAGTCTTTAAAATATAATCTCCAATTAAATGGAGATTTCGCTGAATGGACTCTGCACACTCATAGTTTTGATTGAGATAATTTGCTTCCCTGACATGCTGGCAGAAAAATAACTGAACAACCCAGAAGAAGAAAAATAACACTAAACAGACTAAATAGCTCTCTTAATGTGGAAGATTCGATTAGAGCTGATGCAGCAGGTTAGCGAAATGAAATCAGGACGACATAACAACATAGTTAATCACATGACAGACCTTTAAACAGGCCTTAAAGTGGATAGGCAGATAACATGGACTCTTTAGCAATACATCCTCCTACAGTCATTTGTGGTTCACTGGACTGACGTCATTTTTGTAGAAAACCCTGAAGCTGTAACCCTGCAAATCAAATGTATTGGCCTGATCCCACATCTGACCTTGGGTTAGGATCCATCTTGCAAAGCTTGAAGCTGATGCACTCGTTCAGCAGACCAATCGGCATCATTTAAACAGAGAGAGGCAGTGGCTATGGGCATGTTAGTGGCAGCCTGTAAAGAGTTCAGGATGGATGTTACTACAGCTGCAGTTTCATGGGAATTGGCGAAGTGTGCCGCCTTCAGAGGTGAAACCTTTACAGGGGTTGTTATCGATGAGATTCACAGTACAACAGTTCAGTTGTATAATCCCATGTTTACTTTGAGCCTTAAAGGTGGGGTAGGCAGGATTCCGTTAAAGAAGCATCTTTTTCTGTGGTGTGTATACAAAAAAGCTTTTAATATCGGTCAACAGCTATTAGTTATTGATGACATTTGGTAATATAACAATATCGCTGAGTTCTCTTATGTCTGTGTAGTCAACATTTAACATTTTTCGAGCGGCCTGCTCTTTCTGACTGTTAACAAAGCCATTCTCCGCCTCCCCAACCTGATTGGTTGTGAGGCAGTCGCTGCTCCCTTCCTTAAATATTGTGCATGAGCCCAAAGAAAATTAGCGCGCTACAATATCGGACAGTAGATACCAACCAGAAAGTTCAGAAAATTGTCTGAGTACTCCTTTGGTCACGACTGCCGACACAAGCAAGAAAACGAACTAAATTCCGGAGACTCTAGCGGAATACTTGGCACTTAAAAAAGAGGTAGACTGAACAAGAGCTAAAAAGCCGGGTCAACATCAATGAAGCATAAACCATGGGGGATGCTTTGGGATCTTACAGACCCTGTAACCTTTCGGCTCGACAGGTAAACCGCTTTAACAAATTAAGCCAAGTGTCCATAACAGAAGTGTTTCTTATCAGACAGGACCTGCTGCGTGTTGTAGCGCCGCTAAACAGTTGACCTCAGGTCCTGAATTATGTCACTTTATCCTAGTTGTAGAAATCCTGCAAACATTGTGTTTGCTTATAGTCTGTTGGCACCTACAGTCGCACCAATGCTTTTTACTTTCACGTCGACTGGGCCCCATTTGTAATTATCTGAAGTTTTTATCTGAATTATATCTGAATTTAATTGGAACGATAAGAGTGAGCAGGAGCATCTGTTTGTGGGCGGGGCTTGCTGGAGCAGAGAGGGAGGGGAGAGGAGGAGCTGAGGGGAAAACTGGTTGTGAGGGGTAGAGTTTACATTCAAGATTTCTCCCAAAAACTGGCACTCCTTCAGATCCTGCCTACCCCACCTTTAAGTGGCACACGCCAACTTCCTCATTTGTCTGTTGCTGTTTCGGTTTGTAATGAAAGTGACCGACAGAATAATCGTCCAATCACACTCTGAGTTAGATTTAAAGGCTCCACCGTGCAAAATATTCTAACCGGCATGTCGGGTTCCTGAAGCTGTATTGTGACATCCGAAAAGGTCATCAAATCAAGTATGTTGAGGCTATTTTCTAGAGTATTTTCACTCTGGCTGTTATCGCCAGAAAACACCCCTGAGTTTCTAAGTTTCTTGCTGAGACTTTACTTGATAACTGTGGTCTTTTTAACCAAAAACACCCGAGTGTTTATCTCTGCACAGTGGAAAAAAAATCAGCATGTGAATAAGGAAGTTTTTTTTAATGAGTAAATACACCTCACTGTTTTAAACACAGCTTGTGCGTGTTTGAGCACCAAAATCTAATCCCACTGCTTCCAAATCTAAGCAAACGACACTCAGGGAGCACTTTTAGAGTGATTTTATGTGTTTTGGTTCAAATTATCTCCTGAAATAAAAAACCCGAAGTCTTGAATGTACCCCGCTGCAGCTCTGCTCCTCTTTCATACATCCAGTCCAACTGCAGCTGAAGCTCACTAACTAACACAAGCGGCTAATACTCCCTTGGCCTGCTAACAAGCACCCCTATCACTCCTTCCTTGTAAACCCCTGAAGCCCCCACCCATTAGTGGTGACCCTGCCGACAGAGCTCCCAGTGTTTTGAAGGACAGGAGGCAGAGGCCGAAGCCTCCCAGACCAAAGCCTGGATTAGTTACTAATCCTTGGAGGTATTTCTCTCTCCCCTCTGCCACCCCCTGCTTTTGAGGAATCTGCTCGCTGCAAGCCGAAAAATTTCAAGGGAAAAGACGAAATCAGAGAGACGAAGGACGAGAGCCGCTGTCACTTTATTGGAAATATTATCCAAGCAGAGAAAAAGTGTGATAAAAAGTTCTGTTTGAGGCATTACTGTATATCGATCATGTGTTTGAAAATGCCAAAAAAGTCCTAATTTACTCTTACTATCTTTACTTATAAAGGCAAGTGATACAATATTGTGACATTTCAGTAGATTATTATAGAAGAGATGTCAAAGGCAACTTGGCATCTATCGGTTTATAGTAATTTTATGCTTCTGAGGTCACCTCTGAGGATTCTATTGTCTTTTAGTGATGCTGAAAAAGTAAAAAGAACAGACATCTACACGGAGTGGATCTTTGTGCCTTTCTTGGAGCGTGTTTTTTGGCTTTAAGTACATGAGGGGTTGTACCCAAACCCCAACACCCCACTCCGGTGAAAAGAAGAAGTCAAAGATTTGAATAAATCAATGGTGACCACAGAAAGCATTGTGTTTCTTGACTTGGAGTAATTCTTGGGGAGTCGAAACTGAATCATAGAGCTAAGGTAAAGAGTCCAGATAGGCGATTACAGAAGTGTATGGGGAGCGAAACACCGCAGATTTAAGCACTTGAAAGAAATGTGAAACTTGTTTCTGAGTTAAAGACCGATTTGGACTTTTTGTCAACTGACTTTAACTGTAAAAATGATTTAGACTAAGACTAAAATCTAACAGAGCTGCCGAGTAAATACTGGCTGCAGTCTCAGCAGATGGCTGTTTTACATGAATCTGGTTCTGCTCGAGGTTTCTGCCTGTTAAAGGAAGTTTTTCCTCTCCACTGTAACCTGCTAAAAGCTGCAAAGTAGGACCGGCGACTGTATGATTGTGATTAATGATCGTGATAAATTTTATTTGGGTCACGGTGATCAGCTGTGAGCATATTTACTCGATCAAACATAGCGGAAATGTGTGTGACAACAGCCAATCAGAGTCAAGCTTTTCCTGCTCACTTCTGTAAGTTGCCGGAGACGTAAACAGTGGAAGTAAAGAGAATGACCAAACATGGAGCTGAGGGCAGCAAAATAGATGTCAGCCATGACTTTGAGTAATCCTCCGAAGATGTCATTGTTGACTAAAGCAGCATCAATCGTATCATCTATATTTACATCATCTAATGTTTACATTTTAAGGCATCTTCATTATCTCTGAGGGGGTGATTTGTCTATTTTGGGTCCTGCATACCTGCAAAAACACTCAGGACAGTAAACTAGTTCACTGTACTGTTGAGTTAAAATGGGTTGTTATATTTGTTTATCTTTTCTATTTTGCTTTGTTATTTGATGTTTGTTAATAAAATGTTGACCTAATCTCTAGTTTCTTTAGTTTTCAGTAAAAATGCTTTAAAACTGGCAGTTAAAAATATTTTTTAGAAATCGTGATAATAATTGAGATCGGACGATATGGCAAAATACATTGTGATCTTTTTTTTTTGGTTTTGCTAAATCGCCCAGTCCTACTGCAAAGTGCTCCACTCATGTGGTTGAAAATGGGATAGGAGTGGGTCTGATCTTAGAAGATGGGGCTCAATCTGATCCAATTGGGTCTTTGTAAACAGAGTCTGGTCTGGACCAGCCTTTCTTCGTGAAGTGTCTCGAGATAACAATCGTCGTGAATTGGTGCTATATCAATAAAGATTGATTGATTGAAGTTCAAGGGATTCACATTTTTCTGAAATGTCACAAAAAGAATTTATTTCCCAGAAAATCTAAAGTGCTGAACTCAAAGCTCAGGTGTTGAAGTGGTCTTTTTGACTCACTGTGTTGCCTCCTGCGATCAGTGATTCATGTCACGTTTAGTATTCCCACACATCTACACGGCATACATGTTTTTGTTGAATAGCCTACTTTGCTCTGAATACCATTAACCTGTACTAGTCGGGAATTATAATGTGCTCAAATAATTGCATCCCCTTCATTAGATGTGTGCGTGTGTGTGCATGTAAGTGGTTCATGTGTGTTTGTGGGAACACGGTCAAAGACGTGCCTTTATGTAAAAATATCTGCAGCTCTTTGATCTTTAATTTGAGTTACAGACACATTGTCTGACGAATATATATCTCATTATGCCAGCATGCTGGTGCTTTATATAGTCTAAAAGACAAGCACACACTTTTTCATTACCCTGTCTGTGGGCTTCACATGAGTCCTGATTGACAGCGTTTGATGAGGGCACAATAATGACGATCATCACCACATAACCGTCTCACTAATTACTGTGTCATAATCACTGCCATCAAGGAATTCATAGCCGGGTCCTCATTTGCAGAGGGTGAAATATTCATGCTGCTCTGGTGGAAGTTGAGCAGCCTGAATTTTAAAATGATTACACACTAAAAATCTCTGGGGGGGAGCGCAAAGGAGGAGCAGCTCCAATCAGTAATTCTGTTTTTGCTTAATCTTTGTATAGTGTCTGATAAAAACGGAGCACAGACCCCAAGATTACTTGCAAAAGAGGCAATGTGATCTGGACAGTGATAATCCGCACCTATACGAATGGTGAAATCTAATAAAAACAAATAAAAAGAATTGCAGTCCTGCAGTATTGTCAGAAAGACTAGAGCTGTTTATTTGTTCAGGGGGTCTCCCTTCTTTCCCCCCGTTTCTCCATTTCCCCGGTAGAGCAGATTGGATAACTGAGCAAAGGCAGGAGAATTAGTGTTGGATCGCTGCGTGGCATATGCGCCCCAAGGAGAGGCGGTCTTGAAGAAAGGTTGTGAGAGAGGGAGAGAGCGAGCAGATGGTAGAGTTACTCAGTGTTCAAACATCCCTGGGCTGCAGTGGGGTGCACATTGTTGACTTTTTGCTTGTAATAACTGCAGTCACATTTCTTACAGCCACATTTCATGCTTTAGTGGGTGGATGATGTATAACAGGCTGCTCGGATCTGCAGTGATGGTGCAAATCCAGATGAGGATGATGAGCTGAGCCTTATGCTATGCAGAGCAGACGCTCTTTACTGAATTTTTAAAGAAAGCACGAACCCGAGGCTATGCCAGGTCTTAAGTTGGAGGAGGAGCAGCAAAGGAATCTGCAGAGCATGTCTATTAGAGCGGTCAGTTTTCACCTCAAGAGTTTGTGAATGAAACAATTCAAAAAATATTGTGAGATATCTATATTAAAAATAAAACAGCAACACAATTAGTCAAATTAATCTCAACCTTAATTTCTATCGCATCCGGAACAGCGGCGAAAAGGCCGTATACGCTGATCGCAGCTGATCGTTTCCATTCAAGTTAATGTGTCAATTTCCACTGGCTTCTTTCCGTCCCGGAATTCATAACCAAAATACACTTGGATGTGCTTGGGGAAGACAACTTTGAGAAGCCACCATCAGTGGACAGAGCCCACAGAAGTTTGGCTCCCAAGCCAAGAGAAGGCGACAATCGATCACGGCTGTTCAATGTCAAGTTACATCACTTTCAAACAACAGAGTTACACCTGTTACACCCTACACCTCGCCAGACAGAAGGGCCCGCTCTCCTAGAACAGATCAAGAATTACTAGTATAAACAAAGTATTTAACATTGAATAAAAGCATGCAAAACGAGGAGATGCACAATCGTGTGTACACTGTCACGCCAAAATACCCCTGGATAACATTGAGTGAGCGGTAATTAAGTTCAGTGGTGAAGCTCTAATTTACTTTGAGTTACAGTAACAGTATCAGAAACATGTCTCTAACCTACTCCAAGAGTCGAAGGAATTGACTCAATTTAGTCTCGACTCACAAAAGTGAAAACCTTTAGGTAGAAAACTGGCTGTGATTGTACAAACCGTGACGGGGGAGGTGCATTAACAGGCTACAGGGAAGCGTCTGTGCAGAACTCTAATTCGGTGTCTATCTCTGTGACCCCTGCAGACAAAGTGGATCCTCTTATCTCTTTGTTGTCCTGCTTCGTTTAAACAGTTAAAGGCACCACTTACTGAGACTCTGCTGTAGAAGGAGAACAGAAGCAGTTTCAGCAACCTGCAGGTTATCTCCTCGTCTGAAACCATCTTAATTGCTGCAGTTATAGGCATCAGAAATAACTATGAAGAAACAGCCGGTCTTTTCACTTACAGTCTTTTATGCTTTTATTACTCATATACAGACTGTATCTGTTAAACTTATTGGACAGAAGCCGGTGAAGGTCTCTTCCCCTTTTTTCTGTCTCAGAGCGTTGTAAAAATCAACTCTCGTGAATGTTTCAGGAGTTGTTGTCAAAACATTCGACCAGCCCCCCTGACCTCAACCCGGCCACCCCTCTTTGATGTGGATTTAAAAAAAAAAAAATCATCCAGACTTTCTCACCCTGCATCTTTGCCTGACCTTCTGAATCTGCGGAAGCGAATCCCTGCAGCTAGGCTCCAAAATCCTGTTAGCAGTGTCGATTTTAGAAGCTTTTGCTGCAACACATAAATGCCAGAAGTCCAGAACTGAGATGTAAAACACATATTGGTGTAATATTATGTGGCCCACATGCTTATAGCCATTTACTGTACATTCTGCTGCTGCAATGTCAGTTCTTTTCTTTTTGGCCTGATAACACTTTGCTACCAGCACTTTCCTGGCCCACAGCCCTCTCCTCATCTGATTAATGCCTCCCCACTTAGACCTCTCCTCTTCCTCCACTTGCTCTCTGCTTCTTCTGCTATTATTAATAGTGGGAGCATAGAGGACACTTGTTGTGGCACAGAGATTAGGCAGCCTGCAGTGGCCTAGCATGACCTTAGGTACTTTAACTATGCACTTTTCCTACTGCAGAGTTTGAAGCGAACAGAGAACAAGTTTGACTGCGAAAATCCCAACAGAGCAGAACTTTGAGACTGTCCTCAAATTATCATGAAATAAATGGCTTTATTATAGTTTCCCTTATATGGGCACATTCTGTACATCCAAATATAACCTCCCTCCTCAGTGTTTACTCATAACAAGAGGCCCCTTTTGTGACATTTTCTAATAGGACCCTTTAAAGGTGAGGATAACAAAGCCAAGTCCATGACAAAGCCCGAGCACCTATCAAACCCTACTTTTTCTCATCAAGCAGAAGAAGAGAGTTGCAGCTTTTGTCAGTAACATACAAAGACTGTTTGTTTATTTCAGATGATAAAGCTGCATTTTTCCCCTTTTTCACATCACTGCAGAGCTTTCATGAGGATGCCACAGCCTTCTTTTCACTGCACAGGTACACAAATACCACAGATTCTAGTTGTGTTTGGCATTGTAGGAACCTGGCTTCAGGACAGGATGTAGTATTCATCTGCTGACAAACAAATAAACTGAGAAGTAAGGCAAAAGTTGAGGTTCCAGGAGTGAGGAGGACAGATCTCTCCAGTCTGAACCAGTGGTTTAAAAGGGATTTAAAAGTGGGGTAGGCAGGATTCCGTTAAAGAAGCAGCTTTTTTTGTGGTGTATATACAAAAAAAGCTTTTAATATCGATCAATAGCTATTAGTTATTGATGACATTTGGGAATATTACGATATCGCTGTGTTCTCATGTCTGTGTAGTCAACATTTTAAATCTTTTGACAGTCCGCTCTTTCTGACTGTAAACAAAGCCGTTCTCCACCTCCCCCAACCTGATTGTTTGTGAGGCAGACGCTGCTCCCCCGCATCGTTCAGGAGCCCAAACAAAGTTAGCGTGCTACAGTATCGGACAGTAGAAAGCAGCCACAAAGTACGTACATTTTGCTAAAGCCTCCTTTAGCCAAGACTGCCAACACAAGCGAGAAAACGAAGTAAATACCGGAGACTCTGACAGAATAACAGGCGCTTAAAAAGGAGGTAGACCGGACAAGAGCTAAAAAGCCGGGTCAACATCAATGCAGCATTTGGTGTGGGGCGCGTCAGGATCTTGATCCTGTAACCTTTCTGCTGGACAGGTAAACCGCTTCTAACAAAGTAAGCCAAGTGTCTGTAAAAGAAGTGTTTCTTGTCAAACTTTAGTTGTAGAAGTCCTGCAAACATTGTGTTTGCTGGTAGTCTGTTGGCATCTACAGTAGCACCAATGCTTTTTACTTTCACGTTGACTGGGCCCCATTTGTAATGATCTGAAGTATTAATCTGCATTAAATCTGAATTTAATTGAAACGATGTGAGCAAGCAGGAGCGTCTGTTTGTGGGCGGGGCTTGCTGGAGCAGAGAAGAGGAGAGGAGGAGCTGAGGGGAAAACTGGTTGGGAGGGGTAGAGTTTACATTCAAGATTTCTCCCCAAAACTGGCACTTCCTTAGATCCTGACTACTCCACCTTTAATAATTAATCCTTTCACAGCCCTAATCTGGGTATAATCTTAATTTCTGCCACAAAGAGAAGTCTTAATGACCACCAGTTGGTTACCTCAGCTGGTAACCAGTCATGATTTTACTACATGGAGTAATTATCATAACAGCAGCTGGCTCTGGCACACACGTGGCAGACTAATGAATTTAGCAGTGCATGGCAGCACCGCCTGGAGACGTTGGTGTTGGTAGGAACAAGGTGGCCAGAGATGAGTCGCGCAGTGATTTCAGCAGATGTTTGGCGTGCGAGATTTAAGAAAAGGCCGAATTTTCAGGAGGAGCGAGAATCGTTGAGTTCACAGTCACTAAAACAAACACGTGGGGAGAAATTAATCACAGGGGAAATGAGAAATTCAAACCTCGCTGAGTCATTTTTTATGAGAAAAATACAGTTTGCACCAAAAAAGGGTAATCTCTTATGAAAAGCCAAAATACAGCACTCTATCTTTTTCCATTTTTACTTCAGTATGTGACTTCTCGATTTGCCTGCCTGCCTGGGCTCGTAGATGTAGGTGGAGACAGCAGCAGCAGAGGCAGAGATAAAAATGGTGAGAGTGGGTTTCAGAGGAAAAGTGAGTCACACCTGTACTAAAATCAAACCTTGTGACACCTGCATTGCAGTCTAGTTTATTGAGGTTACTGACAGTGGAGGGACTGGCATCCTTCTTCAAAAGAGGATTTCTGCATTTGTGATTATTTAGTCTAGTTGTGCTGAATGGCTGTTTTTTATGGTGTCCAAAACCTGGTGTTTATTTCATGTACTGCATTGAATGTCTGAAAATGTTCCTCTTTTAACCTTCCTCCTGTGTTAGCTTTCACTACGCACCTACTACATGAACAGGTCGGTTTCGACCTGTGTCTTAGCTCAGCTGCAAATTACACTCAAAACTGTTGTCTATCATCCAATTTGTTTTTCATCTCTGGGTTCACTTGTTAGGCTTCATTATCCATGAAAATATTGCTTATAATATTTTTTTGTTGTGGGTCTCTGGGCCTTTCTGTGTCAGTATACACCTCACACAGACATCTATACTGAATTGATCTCATATGTCTGGACATCTCCGACTTTGTTTTTTTTGTGCAGGGAAAGACAAGGCAAAATGGGAATTCCCTAAATGTCACATAATTGTGACAAGATCTGGCTGTCAGTGTGTTGACTAACAGTGCACTAATGAAATCATACCACCCTTTGGTCTGGTATGAACGCGCAAGCGAACCGTGGTCTGGATCAAACAAACGGACCACAGTCCTCTTGAAAATGCAGGACTCAGTCCCTTTCCAAACGAACCATTTGGTTTACTTAGCAAAAGTTGCATGTGAATGCTAACTGGACCAAATGCAAAATGCAACAATGTAAACATTTGGTCCCTGATCCGGACTTTCTTAGCAGTCTTTGAGTGAAAAAGGCCCCTTAATCTAACCGGGTTCACAGCAACCCTAACACAGTAAGTGCCATCATTTCTACCAGAGCATTTTATAATTTAGTAAAAAAAAAAATTCTATTGTATTGTATTGAAATAGAGGTTCCTAACAAAGTCAAAAAAAATTATGTGGTTCTTTCACGGATTTAAAAACAATAAAAACAGGTCGTTGCAGATGCCAACACAGGAGGAGGGTTAAAGAAACTTCCCGGGAGAGTCAGAAAATGTATGCAGACAAACTGAAATGGACCTAAAAGTGAGAGGAGGTGGATACCAGTATGACACATTATTCCAAAGTGAAATAATTTTAAAATACTGACAGATTACTGCTTTTACTTCCTTTTTTTTAATTCTGAAATAATAGGCCAACACAATGACACCACTTAGACTGTCAGTCAAAGCCATACACAGAGCTGAAAGATTCAGTCAAATCAGATGTGTTTGGACTGGCTTTAGACTCTGGAGTGTGCGCTCTTTTTAGTTCACTTTTGTTTCATCTGGTGAGAGCAATAATATTTAAGTTGTACTCGCTGTCTGTGTCCCAGCGGAGCAGTTTGTCAGGAACGAGAGCACTATCATTCTGACGGCAGAAAATGGCCCAAAAAGGAAAGTCTTTTGAGCAGAGAGAGTATTTGTGACACGAGTTTGGAAAATATGACCTGAGACGACGCCAAACCTTCATAAAATACAAACTATACATCACAGCAAACTTAAACTCCTGCCATTAGGAAGACACTATATCCACGGTTTTTAATGCAGCAGAACTACAATATTCTTACACTTTTATGAACATTTTCCATCATGTGGCATTACTCATCCTCTTCCCCTTACATACATGATTGTGTGATATTTCTGTGACATTTACACACAATCTCCCTTACATTTTTTTTTTTCACTTTTTCGCAGATCTGTCTCTGAAAAGGTCAGAGTAAGAAGAAAACAAAAGGTTAATTAACTCTTGCTGAACATTGCTGTTATTTTAGGAATCATTAAAACTCAAAAGTGATCATTTGTAATTGTGTAGCTGATTTCATACAGTAGTGATTTTATCTTTTTAATGTTAAAGCTGGTAAATTCTCTGTAAGGGTACCTGATATAGATAATTCAGAGATAAGATATTCCTTTATTCGTCCCACAAGGGGCAATTCCAAATTTACGGCAGTGATAAATACAAAAGAGAAATTAAAGAATGAAGAAATTTAGGAGTTAAAAGATTTAAAAAACGTAAGTATTCTCAGGATGATTAACTGGCCTTATCTAACAACAGGTACTAATATTAGGTACATGGCTAACTATTGGAGTTACAACAGTTTACATGTCGTTGCTGCACTTGCACACAGCCAGACTGGTGGATTGGTACGTCTTCTACGTAAAGCACAAAGGCGTAATGGTCAGGCAAAGTCTCACCGACTTTTATTCTCTCTCAGAGGTGGAGTGAAGGGAAGACAGAGACGGTTTTATTTTGCGAGTCCAACTGAAACTGGACTTTTCAAATACATGCAAGAAAGTGAAATATATTATAAGTAATGTATGTATGTAATGTAAGTAACTTATTATAGAACGAGATCCAGATCCAGACCAGGGGTTTACTGGTTAATCAGGAGTGCCTATGGTCTCCCTCAGCTGAGGTTTTGGAGGCTATGTGAGGAGGCTAAGCTCTCCTGTTCAGTTGGGTTTTGCTTCTTAGAGGTCCAAACCATCAGCTGGCTTTTTTCAGTTTTTGGTTTCAGATCCCTGACTCTCAAATCTTCTGTTAGTCAATGATTTTGACAGAATTTGTGGGATTTTAGTGAGGTGTTTTATCTCCACTTACACCTATTAGAGATCAAGGGACCCATTTTTTTTTTATTTCTTTAAAATAATTTTTTAGATAGTTTTCTCTCATTCACACGTCGGGCTATAACCAGGAAGATGAACACGAGAAATATGCTGTTGTACTTTTTATGATGGTGTTCCCATCATTAGCCTTTTGCTAATGTGCTTGTCAATTGATTTGGTGACGTGATGGAGGCAACTCAGTAGTAACAAGACCTAAGAAGGCATATGGCTGCCCCCTCGAGTGGGTGTTAAAAGGGATATTCCGGCGTAAAATTAAGTTAGGGTCAAACACACAGTAACACAGAGTTAGACACCCCTCAAGAGGTGAATATTACAGACCACTTGCTTCTCTTGTTAAACCAACTTCAGCAACGGCCGCACAATAGCAATACACAGCGGTCTACGTCTCCACTTGCAAACCTCAACCAAAATGCCACTCTATAGCCGCAGTTAATGCTCAGAACAGCACCTAACTTCATCAACAGTACATATAGGGTCCTAGCCATAGTACTAGCTATCAAACATCTTTTTAACTTTGCCTTATTTCTTTAGCAAAGAGACTAAACACAACTCAAAAACAACCCACTCTCCTCCAGCAGCTGCTTGTTGTTTGTGGGGGAGCCCTGACGAGTTGATCACAGAGTGCAGCGGAGTTTCGCAGCTCAAGGAAGAACATTTGTGTTATGTTTATTCATGGAAATGCAATCAGACCGAGACACTAAGGCAGAAGAACTACCCCGTTCGTAGTGCGAAATAATGATGATTATTACTTCATCAAAATGATCCACTGCACTCAGTGATCAACTCGTCAGGGCTCCCCTTGAGCTTTAACCATTTCAGCTTAACTATTCATGTGAATGTACTGAGTGATATCATGCAGGTCTATACACTTTACACTGTCAAAGACAATCTATGCAGAAAGTTTTCTACGATGACAATGTGTTTTAATGTAGTTGTGCAATATGAAAGATTTGTTCTGAACTGTTCCCTCAGCTGATTAAAATTTCTATAGAGTGTATTATATCAAACTCCACTCTCCTGAATGCTAAGCAGCCCGGTCAGCAAAAAGCTCATCAAGGCAGTTTTAGGCAAGTCAATTGAAAAATGTTATCAAACGCTCATTACTTATCACTGATTGAAAAATTAATTACATTCATTAACAGAATAAGTAAGCAGTTACATTAATCATCACTCACTTCCGTAACCCCCGGCTCCATTAAATATGTCTCCCAACAACTCCAAAGCCTCCCTCACCACATGTCACTTCTACTTTATTTAACACATGCTGAATTAGAAAATGAGATATTGTTGTTGAACACTGAGAAAGTCTTAAGACTGAAGGTGTTTCCTGACTGTTAACAGATGGTGACACTAAGCAGCACTAGAGGAATTAAGCTGCAGGGTTAATTAACTAAGAGTGGATACTGAATGTTAATTTAACCACCACCTAACCCACTAAAACACACACAAAAAAAGACAAGAAACAAGAAAGCAATAGTGTTACCGCTTCAATCTTTCTCCTTTCTGTTTGGACCTGCCTGCTCCTCACACTTCCCACCATGAGCTAACACATCCCATACGAGCCTCCCAGCTCCTCATGTGGACAATTGTCATGATCTGTTCCGTTAATTTAGTTTTTGCCTGGTTTTGTTCTTTGAGTACATTTTCTTTCAGTTTTTCTGAGTGTTTCTGTTCCCTATTGTTCCTGTTGTCCTGTCTTGTGAGTTTTCAGTTTGTGTTTGAACCTGTTTCCCTCCTGTTCTCTGTGTTTTATTCTTTAGATCAGTTTTCAATTCTTCCTGTTTTATTTTGCGGGAGATAATTCCTTGTGTGTCTAGTCTGGTTATACTTCCCCAGTTTTCCCTCCTTTGTTAATCTCTCACCTGTGTCTCATCTGCCTCGCCTGTTGCTAGTTTCCCAGGGTGTATATAGTCTCTGTCTTTCCCTCTGTCCTTGTTGGTTCATTGTATGTTGATGTGTGTGCGCATGTCTGCTTGTTCCCTGTGATCTTTTATGTGTGAATCCTTTGTCTCCTGGTGTATTTTAAATTAAGTTTTTGTTTCTTTTTATTTCGTTCTGCATTTGGGTCCTTTTTTTCCCTTTTGCTTAACTCTGGCTTATGGCTGCAATAACAGAACTTCCAAATATAACATCTAAATAATCAGTTTAAACACTATTTTTACCGCCACATGTTTCTCTAATGTCAAAGTCTTCATTTTATCATGCACTGACAGTCAACATATTCAGTCAGATTAAGAGCCAAGTCTTGTTCGACAATGTGCACGCATTAATTCCCCTGAGTGTGTCTTTGCCACCAGCACACAGCGATCTACTCGCTGTTTGGCCTTGTGGCTGTTATGTTGTGATGAGACTTCTTCAAAGCCGCCGATTCTGATTTAGTGGTTATCTGCAGAATGCATCACTCTCTTACTCTCATTTAATATCCCAAACCACAACTCTGGTCCGACCTTCGGCCCCTGCAGAGCAGTTCTTAAATTCTTTATTTGCCCTGCCTCCCGGGCAGCCTCACAGGCATCTCTTAAAGCCTCTTCAGCTCGTGGAGCAAAGAGAGACACAAATGCATTTTCACTTCCTCTCATTTTGAATCACTTAGATCCTTGTCTCCCGGCTTTGATGTTCCTATATGGACACTAGCTCTATATTAAGTTGTGCTTCTGAACGATGCATTTGGGTCTGAGGATTCTGTATTATGGCGTGGATAAGAGCTTGTTTTATTACACCATAGATTGTTGAAAATGGCTGAGGTGTTGCTAGTGGAGACTACCTCCTTTTTACAAGAACACATGGAAAGGTAAAGTAATCTGGAAATACTCAAGTGTCAGGAAATGGGGTGGTATTAAAAAAAAAAGAGGCATCATATCGTAAATGTGAGATTCATGCAGCATGACAAAACGACGTGAAGGTCAGGGCGGTGAATGTGCATGTGACCCATTAGACACAGGAGGCCAGGATTTATCTGCAGTCTCTGATGGTTAAGGGGACATCTAGATGGAATAACAATGATGTGATAGAACATGTTACAATATGTAGAACGTGTAGGGCTGTAGAGGCAGAGCTCCGATCCATGCAGTGATTTTTAACACGTGAAAAAAATGCATCTACTAAAGTTTTAAGGTTTCCTTTGGGATCCCTTCATGTTTTTCTTTTAAAATGAGGCCCTAGGATTGAGCCTTGTGGAACTCCACACTGTTTTAGCGGTTTCTTCGATATAGTACAAGTTTGGACCAACATGTTTCGTAATTTTCTCATAACTGATCTAAACAATCTCGATTGTAAATAGAAAAACTTGTATTTTCATCATAAGGAGCGTCTATGCTAAGGTTGTTCACCTGAGAGACAGGACTGATCCAAACCCTGTTCTGATGTGGTGAGATGGATCACAGACAACTTGAGCAAGAGCATCAGCCGTCGTAGATTTTAATTAAACGTGTATACTTCAAGCTCTCCAGTCTGTTTTTAACACACCAAATCTTTATTTATGCATGAGTTAGTATTTCAGAGTAACCCTCCCTGTTGACACTTTAAAATAATAAGAGATTAGGGCTGTAAAAGTTTTGGTTGGATGTTGCAATCAGCCGATATTTGCCTTTTTGTCCAACACTGGTCCATCTGCACCATGTACCAGTGTCAGTAGCTGATGTTTTTCTGTTGTGTCCCATCAATTTGATGCTGGCAAACTACCTTCTGATTCAGAGAACAGTGGTCACCTGTTGGATGAACTGTAATTTGTTTTCTTGGCCAAACTTGAAAGAAGATGTGAGCTGTGTGGGAGTATTTTACCATCCTTCAGAAATAACAGAGACACTGGTTTTTAAAAGGATGTTCCAGTAACATCCAAGAAGGACCTGAAAAGAGTCATTAAGACTGAATTTGGAATCTAAAATATTAGTTTTCATCTTAATCATTGGTATTGGCCCTGTTTTGCATGAGTGGTCCATCATTAGTAAACCTTTTCACTTAGTCATGCATACACATGCAGAAATCGTAGTGAGGCCCTGATGGTGTACTTTGCAGAAAACTGATTCTGTACTAAACCACAGACAGAACATTTCAATCTCAGAAGTTACAGCACTGAGACTTCCATTAGTTTCAAAACACTCAAAAAATAGCCGGGAGCATTGCTCCGCTACTCTATGACTTTAAAAGCTAAAAGCAGCTCGCTGTACTTTAGATTTTTACTCCAGAGATTTGGAGGGAGATACTGTTTGAAGAACTCGGACGGAAAAAGTTACACTGGATTAATATTTGATCACCATTTTGCAAGATCCTGTCCTTTCCTTTGTTTCCAGCTTATTTACCAATTAATCGAATGTTCTGGATAGTGAAGTAGTCAGGCAGATTGAGAGGCAAGAGCAAAAAAAAGGGCACCTTCTGTACATGACTGATACAGATCTGCCTGGAGCAGCATTTTGAAGACTTTTCTGTTGCTCTTCACTTTTCTGTCTCTCTTCAACATTTTGTGACCATAAGGAAGTTGCACAGACTCTGTTCTAACCTGTCAAAAACAAATGTGAGTTTGTAAAAATGGTATTTTTGCAGCCATGGGTAGTTGGCGGCCTGGAGAGCTACAGAATTGGAAAAAATGGTCACTCCCTCATACCTACAGGGTTCATTTAAACGGGTACAAATAATATGAAAAGGGTTCCTCCAAAGGAAGGGCATCCAGAGGGCACATATTTATGTCTTATGCAGAGACAAGAAATCAACATTTTAAAGGTTTATTAAAGAGGGATCAATAGGGAACTTTTCAAATATCAAATGCTTCATACTGGAAGGTAGTTCGGTGTGCATATTTTATTTTATTTTTCCACAGGAAGGGCATCCAGAGAACGACTCCACATTTTATCGACAGAGCACCATGTCAACATTTGAACAATTGGTACAATTTTTCCAGATTTTTTTGATACACAGGGAGGCATCCAAAGGACATTACTTTAAGTTTATTCTACTGGCAGGGCATTCAGGCAGGAATTTAAATTCTTTTTCCCCCAGAGTTGCATACAGAAGAATTTTTTTACACACTATATCAAGAGGGCATTTTGTCAACATTTGAAACGCCGGAAAGGACACCAGGACAGCATTTTTCCAGAATTAAAAAGTTAAAAACAGATCCAAATGACACCATGTTTATGACATAAACAGGAAGTGCATTTGCAAAAAAGGTAATCTGCATTTTTTACAGCAGAAGGGCATTCAGATAGCACTATTTGTATGTTTAACCCAAAATAAGGGAATTCAAGTGGTACTTGTTGCACTGTTGGGCCCTTTTTATTGTGAAAGAACACTCAAGTAAGGCATCTGGCACTTTTTTTTTTCCAGAGAGCTCTGCAGCTAAGATCGCTCATCTGCTGTGTTTTTACAGACAGTCTTGCATCACAAGAAATTCTACTTTAACTCTTCTGTCTCATGTGAGGACCTAAAGTGATAAAAACTGGTCTCTGATGTTTCTGGTTGAATTTAATCCATCAGTTCTATGCTTTGCACTGTTTGTTCATTCTGGGCAGCTGTCCTGTAAAAGACCTTGGAAAGCACATAAGCCAGCTAAGTAGATGGGTCCTACTCCATATGGACATTGAGGCTCAAACCAAATATGGACGTTTTCATTCTCTTCAATCTGTCAGAACTATAAATCCTAAAAACAAATATTTGCAAATACTAACATTTTATCGGTGTTATCATTCCAAAAAGAACAAGTCTATTCTGCTTTTGTGTGACTGTTTAATTGATGCTCACTACCATGCAGACAATATCCTCTGTGAGAACGTACTTGTCGTTATCCGGCATTCCCTGACTCAGACACAAACACTACGTCGTCTTTGACATGTGAAAAAATGTCATGACAACCCCACAACATGTCAGCTCATTCAGCTCGCGTGACCCGCACCGACAGAAAATGCCACATGCTGCCGTCAACTGAGTCACCTGTTGTTGTGGATGGCTGCGGGCGAGCTTCAGGCATTAAGCGGCGCATCAAACTGTTTTGACACCCCTGACCATCACCTCACCTCAGCTACAGTGGTTCTGTACTTTTCTTTCCTCTGTTCTGCTGCCAAGGTTTATTTCCAGAATCACAATTTCTGCATGATGATTTCTGTCAAGCTGTCACACGTCTATTGTACAAACAGCAGGGTCGGTATAACCTCCTGTGACTACAGCTCCAAGATATTGACTTTTTGCAGAGAAATGTTTGTTATTCCTACCTTTTTCAAGTCAATTCAAATCCGATATATATGTAAAATACAAAAGAAATGTGCAATACATGTTTAAAAATGGGCCTTTTAAGGAAAGCAACAAATAAGAGCATGTAAAAATGAGTCGAATCAGCTGAGTAGCTCATTTCAGTCTATTTGGTGACAACTACACCGGCCTTAGATGTGTTTCTTTCCCATGACCTCTCATAAGCTGTGATGAGGTTTTGCTCTCGGGGCTGGAACAGTGACTCAGAGAGCAGGAAGACACAGTGACACCAAACCCCCAGTCCACTATAAAAACCTGCTATTTTTGTTCACAGATAAAGTGGATTACACAGTCAAAGGCATGTCCAGAGGAATGGCCAGGGGGGCGGCATGGTCTCCCTTGAATGCTGGTTGGCCACTTCAGGTGCCATACCAGATTCCTAAATTGTGATTGGTTGTCAGAGGTTAGTCTCAACAGTTTATGCGCTGTGTTGCAACCAGAGGCTAAACTGTTAGAGCCCCCTCTGGTAACAAGTTGTAACACAGTGAAACAGAGATGCCTGAAGGAGTAGGATTCTCTCACTTTTGATAAATGAAACTGTTTTTTAAAAGTGGTTTAATAGTGGTTGGAGCACCAGGAGTACAGGAAGTGGCAATTGTGAGATTACAAATTAGGCAGACAGCATTTCCATAGAAGACAAACTGCAATGTTATTATCTTTAGATACAAAGATACTGAGAATAAGGGTAAGCAAAGTAAAATCAGAGATAGGAGCAACCATTCTGGAAATATCTGTTGTAATTTCACTAACTTTAACATCAAAATGAAGTCTTAATATTAGGGTGACATATTCTGACTTCCCAAAGACAGGACATGACTATGCCGGGGTGGAGTCACAGAGTCGCACGTATTTAATTTTGGGAGTTTTCGAGTTGGATCGAGTGTTTTTTACGTGCTTCTAACTCAGTGAGTCCACGTGACACAAACTCGAAATTTCCATACAAAACCTTCCCCGGACAAAGCAAGACGAGCCCGGAGAGCCCCCCAAAAAGAGGACATGTCCGGGTAAAAGACAGCGTATGGTCACCCTACTTCATATTCTTTCTTTGAGACAGGAGTTGGAAAGTAGCTTCAGCTCTAATGTCTAAATGCAAAACTAATTACTACAGTTTATTCGTGGTAGAAGTTGAACTAAGTTTTTTGCATTGTCTTTTAAAGTATATCATCAAAATGCATACTAGCAGGCTCTGTCTGTGATTTATGTATAAGTGTTATTGAATTCAGTTTGACCGATTTTGGCAGAGACAATCAAAGTGAAGGAGAAACAGTGAGAAAAATTTATTGAGCAACTGAACTCAGTATCCATTTAGAGCCACAAGTATCTGTTCTGGTGTGTGTCATGCCAAGCCGAAAGATCTTGGATGTATTATTAGTCAGTAGAATGCATGTTTTTTAACAGCTAAAGGGACGAAACATCAGCCGCGCTTTCTTTTTTTAGATAAAAAGATGAGAATAAAACATCAGTGATGCCTCAAAGTTAAACTAAATATGATTAAAGGAGACATAGAGGGGTAAACATGATATTTTTCTGTATGAGCTCTTATATGCCATCTGTGAACAAGCTGGGCCATCTCGGATTAAAACTCCTAGCACACCCCAGCTAGCACTTCTGCCTATCGTGGCCTTTATATTACCATACAATTAAAGAAAAGTTTAAAACTGGCCGATGCTGATAAAAATACGGTACAAGTGGATTCAAAGCCTTTGTAGTTCTAGTGTGCTTGACCTAATTGCATATTAACCCTCACGTATTTTCTTCTTCCTTCAGCTCTCCATGTTTGTTTTTTCATATTAAATCATTTACATAGAAGGCACTTCATCTTTCATTGAGTACCGGCTTTGATGTGTGTACGCCATGAATAAATCAGCCGAGTCATTCAGACGTATACTCTTTCCTCCTATCATCCCCTCCCTGCTTTATATTATATCTACTTTCCGCATCTCTCTCCAGAAAATGGGGTGAGGAAGTGAGGAGGTTCAAAGAAGAACGGGACATAAAGGTCTTACTAAGATTTTAAAACTCCTCTCTCGCTGTCTGTCTGTATGTGTGCGCGCCGCAGAGGAATAAGCTAAAAGTTTGGACGTTGTGAATTTATACTGAGGAAAAAGCAAGTATGAAAGATAGAGAACAGAAATGGCTCCTCGGTGAGTGCATTCAAGCTTGAGTCAGACCGGGCTGCTTATTCATACACAGAACTAGCTTAACCTCCTCATATGAACCCTGAAATAAATTGCTCCTCCAAGTGTAACCAATGCGCCCTCGAATTTCAAAATGCTTATGACTGTTCTGAAAAAAAAGGGTACAGCGAAAGGAGCTGTAGCTCGCTCATCTGCACAGGCACAGACGGCCTCTTTGCTTTAAAATAACAGAGTAAAAGGCCGTATTTTCAATGGATTACGAGGTTCTACGCAGCGCGAGCGTGCTATTCAGAGGAAGTCAGTGACCTTGTTCGCTTTGCTCCTCTGCTTTTGACGATTTTCACAGATGTAATGCGGCTTTAGCTTCTCAAACTTTTCTTTGCAACAGAGTCAACCTGAGGCATCAACGTGACCTTGGACCATCGGAGATAAGATTCATTTCTTGTTGGCGGTGCTTGAATTATAATACATAACCATTTTCTTTCACTATTCACACAGTACAGCCTTAGTTTGACGTAAAAACGCCTCTGTTCTGGAGAAGTGCACCAATGTATGAGTGTATTTGAGCCGTAGGTTGATCGTAAAAGGTTAAGATCTCCTCACTCTATGACTTTAACAGGTGTTTTCAGATGTTTCATTGTTGGAAACAGCAGCAGCTTGTGGAGGGTCGTCCTATATAGTAGTCCTTGCATTGTTCTACAGAGGTCGAAAGTCACCGTTCGTGCAGCGATGTAGCTAATTACCTGTCAGTCAAACATCAAAAGCAACACCAAAGACTGCAGCACAATTTACCACGTGAAATTTCCACAACAGCTAGTGAAGGAAAAAAAGCCCCTGAACCAAGAGGAAACAACAATCGAACAATAGAGGACTGAGCGCAGCAGTTGCTGGTTCAATTCTCCTTTCTGAGCCCCTGTCTGACATTAAAACCAAACTAAATGTTAACACAATATCACACTGTTTCTTTATACTGTCAAGCGTCCTCATTGTTAGATAAATCAGCTCAAAGATGGGTGCATTAGTTGGAAAAACAACCACGCAGAGAGCTTATGCATGCCCACCATGACAGAAAAAAAGAGGAGCTCATTATCTTGGCTATCATGTTCATGGCTCTGCACCAGCTCTTCACTCCTGTAAAACACTCACTTGAAGAGAACACTTGGAGCAAAGTGGGACACCTTTTGTTCTTCCAAAAGTGCACTTGAAAAAGTGCCAGGAGAGAATCTGTGTTTTTGTGAAACTTTGGCATATTTTTTAAGGTGAGACCTGATGTTTCAGCAGTAAGACTTTCAATGTGGCATCTACAGAAAGATAGAAAATGTAAGGTAAGCTTTGATAAACACTCGAACCTGCAAGAAAATGTGGTATTTTAAGTATTTCAGATGCCAGCGTAGAGATTTTTCATCTTACACTCAGGAAAGAGATTTTTATAGAAGCAAAAAACAGAAGAGAAAAACAGCTCTGTATGTTAAAAGCCTTTAAATTAGTGTAACTTAACTTTAATCAAGGGCTTTATTAACCTTACCATACGTGTTTAATAATGTGCTGTTTCGATAAGAAGAAAACAAAGAAAGTCAACTGAACCAGAAAAACATAATTTCCCACTTATCGAAAGGGAGTCATAATGCCAGAGCTTATTTCTTCTAACGACATTTATTCATTGTTTATTCTACAGGCATAATTTCTACTTTGAACCATTTGTTCTTGTTCACATGTATTGTGATTAAATTGTCTGAAATACATCTACTTTAAATATGACAGTGGGCACGGATGCGAAAGTCTCAATACCCTTTCTGAAAAGGTAAAGATGAGCTACTTCCTGTCCTGCAATCCAGACTGCGGTGAGACCCGTCAATTTGTGACATTTGCTTCATCTGACATTTACTTATGCAGAAAGTCCCGTTCACCACATCAAACGTTATCTTCATTTTCTGAATCGCTCCTCATCTTTTTATTCTTTTTTTGATCATGTAGCACCTCATCACCCTCAAAAGCTCGGATTTCCCAGAACAAAGTTGAGGCGCAGCAGGGTGCTCTGTTCTGGTATCATAACCAAAAAAGAAAAAGGTGTGTAAAAGCTTCACCCTGGAGCTCCTGGTTGCCTCTAGTCTCATAGAACAAACTGTTAAGGATCAGTAGTCGTGACAACGGCCAAAACCTGACTATCCACCCTTTACATGACGGTGATGTCACATCTCTCTTACTAATCCGTTGCATAAGCTTCTGATGACCCAGCATCCTTACCTAACAGGGGCACACATAAGCTCCAAAACCAATCAACAGAGTTCACCATCAGCAAATAATGATAATATACATAGCTAAAGTTATCAAATTAATTGTTCCGTTGCTGTAGCTTAGCTCGCCACGATTTACAGGTAGCATACTTTTTTCAATTGCTGATGCATGTTAACTTGACTTCCATGCTAATTTATCTCCTAGGACAGCTAATAGGAGTCTGTTGCTAAAGCATCTCCAACCATAATAATAATAATAATAGCTAATTAATAGTTATTTGTCATTTTGCTGTAGCCTAGCTCTAGTAGCTTGGCTCACCATGTTTTACAGGTAGCTCACTTATTGCTCCTGCTAATGTGTGTTAACTTGACTTTAGTGCCAATATATCTCCTGGGACAGCAAACAGGAGTCTGTTGCTAATGCAGCTGCAACCATAATGATAATAGCTAATTAAAAGTTATATTTGTTGTGTTGCTGTAGCCTAGCTCTAGCAGCTTAGCTCGCCATGTTTTACAGTTAGCATACTTATTGCTTTTGCTAATGTGACTTGACTTTAATGCTAATTTATCTCCAAGGACAGCTAACAGGAGTCTGTTGCTAAAGCATCTCCAACCATGTAATCAGGTGACTTTATTTTTAGCTGTAAGATGAATAACTATGAATTTAATGCAATCATCTTTAAATCAAAGAAAGTCCCGACAGAGTCAGAAAAGACCCTGAAGCGAAGTCAACCTTTGAATGTTAATCCTTCATCAGACAGTACGGTCTGTTTACATCCACGGTACTTAATATTAAAGAGTTTGTTTAAATGGGCTGTATAACTGTTGATTGCATTTTCATTGCAGCCCAGTAATAAATAAAGGGAGTATTTTTTCCAGAGTGGTAAAATATGCACATTAAAAGCTCTTCATTTGAAACAGATGATGAGTTTCATTTGTCTCTGTGGTATGAGGCCTTTAGACAAAGACGTGTGGATGTGTCATGACCGACATAAAGAATGCATGTATTGAGCCAGTCAGTTATGCTGAAATTTCATTTTTTCCACTCGATAGATCACAGTCCCTGAGCACATCCCTGCAGATCCTTCAGCGCTCCCCATCTATTTCCAGAAAACACCTCAACACGCATTGCTACAAGCCTCCTCTTTAACACAACATTTCACTCTTCTTTATAATCTTTGTGTTTTTAATCCCATACCCTTATGATTACTCACTTATTCCTGTGATCAGTCCTCCCCCTGCTCTCTCTCTCTCTCTCTCTGCTCACTGAGCTTTTAGAAAGAGGGGGCGAGAATCCCCAAAACATGAATCATTAAAAGATGTGAGGAGAAAAATAGATCACTGCAGATGCACCTGCAAAAATAACAGCTTGCATGAAGACAGAAAGAGAGAGGGACAGAGAGAGAGAAAGGGGGAGGGGAAAGAAGACAAAGGATCTGTCCTCTGTTTAACTGGTTCTGTCTTTGCACAGTACGCCTCAATACGCAGGCCAACTTTCGCAGCTGATCATTTAAATTAAAATTTTAACACCATTTGCAACTCTGAGGAACTTCTGGGTTTAAAACACATTATAGAAATTTATACAGAGTTAAAAGAGGGTCGGGACTTTTTAAAGGTCTAATAAAAAGCCAAAGAAAACATTCAGCTTTAATAAAACACAATCGCACAAATGGTCTCCTCTCATGAAAGAGGCAGCTGAACTGGGATTTGACACCGCTCCTTTCTCTGGTGGCCTCAAACGCTTAGTTTTAAAGCTTCACATATCTTTTTTGTTAGGCGCTCTTTCATGCATTCAAGAGAAAAAAAATGTTCCAATTGACTAAATTCATCTAAAGTGAAAAATAAACCAGTGCAGTTCACAGACTCAGTGGCAGGAGAGATTAAGAGCACAGAGCTATTTGTGGTTTACCGTCTGTTCTTCTTACGGTCTTTTACATTTAGTGAGGTTTGATTTTTTATTATTTTTGCTATTAACATACAAGAGGGCTTTCCAAAGAGTAAGTTTACACTGGGAGAGCAATTAGAGGACTTTTTTTGTTGTTGTTTTTTACAATAAATAGTTATGCAATGTATCTGTAAAGCACTTAAAAACAGTTCATACAGGAAGGACAATCATAGGACACTTTTTATTACAATAAATACTAGAAGGGAGTGCTTTTGAAACAGTAAATATACAGGTAAAGCAATTAAATGACAATTTTTCACAGTTTATATACTAGTAGGGTGACCAGAGAGTACTTTTGAATCATTTTATATACTGGTAGGGCAATCAGAGGGCACTTTTTACAACAAGTACTAATAGTGCCGTATTTTTCATCATTTTATATACTGGAGGAGCAGTTAAATGACTTTGTTATACAGTGTTTATCCTAGAAGGGTGTCCAGAGAGTACTTTTTGAATAATCTGATATACCGGTAGGGCAATCACAGGACACTTTCTACAATAAGTACTAATCGCGCAGTATTTTTAATCATTTTATATAGAAGAGGAGCAATTAGGTTAGAATTTTTATACAGTTTATCTCCTACTACTGTCCAGAGAGTGCTTTTTGAATAACTTGATATACCGGTAGAGCAATCATAGGACGCATTTAAAATAAGTGCTAATAGGGCAGTACTTTTTAATCAATTTAGGTACTGGAGGAGCAACTTAATGACACTTATTTAAGGTTTACATACGATAAGTGTGTCCAGAGAGTAGTTTGTGAATAGTTTGATATACCGGTAGGGCAATCAGAGGACACTTTTCTGAATTATTCCTAAAACGGTAGTACTTTTTAAAGGTTTGTATACCCTAAATGAGCAAATAAGTGACACTTTTTCAAGGTTTATATGCAGCAAGGATATCTGGAGAATGCTTTTAAAATACTAGAAGTGCAACTAAAGGACACACTTTTCACATAGATATAAAAGAAGAGCTTTTTTTAATGATTTCATGAACTGGAATCCAACCAGAGGACATCTTTTCCTTATTCTGTTTATCATGTTTATCATGGCTGTTTGGTCATGTTCTATCAAATGAATTTTATTTTATCTTTTCAGTTTATTCATTTTAATCTACCAGAAGGTCACACAGAGGGCACTTTTTTCAAGTAGCTCTAATGGTAGGTCATTCAGTGGACTCCATTTTATGAGTCTTATCCAAGAGGGCTCTTCCCCAGATCGCCACTGAGTACAACAGCTGCTGCGCATGATTGATTTGGATTTCAAAGTCAGTCCAAATGTTAGCCTCGTGGCTCCATGAATTGCCATGTTCACGGGGTCACAAAAGCTGATCCCGACTCAATCGGCTGGGCCCGACTTGTTCAATAAATTCTGGCATGTCAGAAACCCTTGTCGGCTAATTTCACACACTCTTACAGTGAAAGCAGAGCCACAAGCCCATTTTATAATACTCGGCTTTTTTCCCTCTTCTCTAAAAATGGCAGACAGCAGCTGAAAACACCTTGGCAACAACAAGCTGCGTGATGTGGACAACTGAAATACACAGACACAGCTCAGCCACAATATCATAACCACCTGTGAAGTCTTGCGCGACCAAAGCGACACCTGAAACACAAATTCAACTGTTGCAAAGCTTCTACATTTGGAGTTTTTCCTGTCATGTCAAAAATCTGATCAGTTCTCTGTATCTTTGCTGTAAAAGTTGTATTTTCTGGCTATAACTTCTGTGAGTGGGTGTTTTTAAGAGAACTTTTCTCACATTCGTTGATGCTCCATCCTAATATAACACAAACAGCATGAGCACATAAAAGCAGAGCTCCAGTTGTGCGTTCTTAATGATTCACTTTTACAGTATGAGCTTACTTCCCACATTTATTTATAAAATTGCAGAGTGTGTGTCGCGCCAACGGCAGACTAAAAGAAATCTGCATACCCAAATAAACACATCATCCCGAAAGAAACCTTGGAATGATATAAAGTGTACTTTTCTTATTTCATTTCTTGCACAAGTAAGCAGAGCCTACACTATAAACGTGTTTTATGGAGGGTCTTTATGAGAGCAGTTTTTTATAGCGTGGTAATTTCATGACTTTCAAATTTTAGCTTTGAGGGAGAGAAGTTAAATTACCTGTCATTAGGCCACCTCCACTTCAAACTGTGAAGGAGGGACCGCTGAGTAATTATTCTCTCAGCTCCTGCGGCTAATCAGACAATCACTGTACAGCGTCATGTGGATGCTGGGATTCTGGGTATGCTGTCATTAGATTTTGCCCTGATTGGAGCTGTGCTAAGAACTGTTAAACTGATTGAGACTTGTTTGAAAAAAAGTGTATCTCTCTCTCAAAATCAGCGCTCAATTACACTTCAGAATCTCAAAAAGTGGTTACATAATGGGATTTAAGGTCTTGAAAATATAATACTGGCATTTAAATGTATTATGAGTCTCGAGGTGAATTTTTCTTAGGTGGTTTTCGACGCATTTGAATAGCAATGACATTAAAACTCACTTAGTTTTGCTTTTCAAGTAACATTATCATGCATTACGACATTTAGGGAAGGTTGTAATTTGCAAACAGACTTTCAGTAGGAGTTAAACAAGCCCTTAGCCTTTCAACAATCTGATACAAATATAAAAACATTGATGGTTACCTGTGAAATTTTATGGAACTTTTTCTCTACTTTTGCTTTTCCCCCAAAAGAAACAGTCAGTGTGTTGTTCCAGTCTGGCTTTAACATTCTGACAACTCAAGGAAACCACAGAAAGGATAGTTGGTGTGACACTTTACACTACGCATTTACAGCTCATTACTGCTTCGAAAAAGGCCGAGCTCCTACAGTATATATACAGTAACAGGCAGTAAAGACATCAGCTCTGCCCAGCTGTGGAGGTTGAAAGCGTGGGCATGGAGGTAGTTGGACTACAGCTGCTCGTGGATGGATCTATAAAAGGATGGGATACGGCTGCAGTGCATTTCCATTTTTCTATAAATATTCTTCGACCATGTGACAGAGCGCCTTTAACCCATTAAGACCTGAACCCTGTCTGAAACACGCCTCTGAAATCCTGAAGGCAATTTTGAGAAGGGCCCCAGATCCTGAGGTTTTCTGAAGTGTTGAGGTTTACAAAAAAGCTGATATCTCAGCCTCTGTAGCAGATAGAAACGAAATTCAAAAAGTATTTTAGAGTTTACACGTGTAGCTTTCAAGATAACTACTTTAAGTTTTCCTAACCTTCGTCACATTATTGAAAACTTTGAACCAACCAACTCAAATGAATTAAAGCGGCTGTATAAATAAAAGTAAAGACTCTGCACTGGAGAATAACAAATAATTTGCTTTCTGTAAAACAAGTGGCAGTCATGATAAAGTGTCCATTCAATACAAATGTAAATATAAAAAATAAAGTATTGAAAAGGTGTGCAGCTGCCCGAGTATAGTGCCAGTACAAAAGCAACATTAAAAAAACAGTGTGTTCATCTCTGTGCTCACTCAAAGTCATGCAACACTCACAGAAATCGCCGATAGTGTGAGCCAAAACACTCAATATGAAGAGGTTGTTCACACTGCTGGATGCTTCCCCTCCGAAGCTGCTCTCTGCCTCTGTCATTGTTTACGTTACTCATGAAGCTCGTAGCAAGATCCAAGCATGAATCCGATTACTTTATTAGCCCATCAGAGGCAGACGGGTATAATGATTTGATTCACCACGACTCCAGAAATGACTGAAAAACTACAGAATGTTACAAAATGATGTATCCACGCTCCCAAATTAAAGGGTAGAAATGCGCAGCGGCGTCGCCGACTTGGAAGGTTGATATGCCAACGCGCTTTTCCTGACTTGAAGGGTTGAAATACCAACATGCACCCGGCTTTCCGAGTACAAATGCGCAGCCGTGCTCCCGGCCTGGTTGAAATGCGGACATGCTGTCCCGGTGAGTTAAAGGTCCCATGGCATGCCAATTTCACACAACTTAAAATAGTCCCCTGGTGTGTTAAAAGTATGTCTGTGACGTCCTTCGGTCAAAATTCGATTTGGATCAATTATTTTAGTGCTCTTTTTATCAGCTAAAAACAGTCTCGGTCATGGCTGCAAGAAGATCGCTCGTACAATCCTACCAGTTTGAGCCAGAGTCTGAACCAGAGGGAGAGGCTCCGGAAGAAACTCTTAGCCGCGTTCAGACCAAACGCGACTTGAAGCGACCTAGTCGACACATCATATGTATTATTCAAAGCCGCCAGGAGGGTCACGAGCCAAAAGAGGCGCGTCGCCGCACGGGTAAATGCTAAAGCTACATGCTCCGGAGGGGGATTTTGTCCCCCCGCCGCCGGAGTTGTCGGGGAAGAAGAGGCGAGCGGCTAAAATACGGGAGGATCCGGTGTGTTTATCAAAGCGTGATGGCCGTGTTGAGGCACCGGGGAGAATTTACGCTAAACAGTAAGTCAATATAAAACGTCCATACATACAGTTTGTAGTAGGATCACGGATAGTTGGTACGGATCCATTCTTTATCTTCAGACATCTAGCAAATCCAGCATTGAACTGTCCCTCGTTGATAAAACAGTCCGAAGTGAAATGGTACACACATACGTACAGATATTTTGGAAGTGCCGCGGGTACGTTCCCATTATAAATAAAATCCACCCATTGAGTCCTCAAATCCTCCGACGAGGGAGTTTTCAGATCGTACTTTCGCCATGGTTCTAACCGGAGCAATGCGAGCGAGCGGCCGGGAATAATAGCGCTGTTTAGATAATCTTTTGGGCAGGGCAGTGGGCGGCTCCATGGGCAGTACCATCAACCCGCCAGCACTGACATAACGTCATGTCAGTGGAGTTTTCAGAACGGCTCTGAGCACACAGTTCCTAAATACGGAGATAACTAAAAAACGACTGGATGGGAAGTCAGTTTTTCATGCCATGGCCCCTTTAAACGCGCGGGTCTCTCCTCGTGCCGGTGCCGGGAGTGCGCACGGAGCGCACACGTTCCCCGCGGTGCCAAACTCCGTCAAACTGTTCAACTGTTTCCCCGCACCTTTCTACCGCAGTCCTGCACACCAACCAACCGTTTCTAATTTTATCTGAACTCTTTTCTCCCCACTCTAAGCTTGAGGGTGCACACTCGACAACTACACGCCACCACACATTGACACACACACAATCACACACAGACACACACACTTACCTGCTGCCATCTCCCAAGCCAAACCGGAACACTTCCTGGTTCCTCAGTAAATAGCGCAAGGTGGCGCGATTTGGGGGTGTCATGTGACCACCGGATCACACCAATATAGTTAATTTGTGGTATATTTGTCTGATTTATTGTGTTTTCAGTGATTAAGTTCACAGCTGTATGGAGGGCGATTAGTGCCATCTTGTCCATGTTGAAATGTCTGATTTGTAGATAAATTTTGTGTTTAATTTTGCATATTGTATCTTAAACCCCTATAATTTCATAATGGTTGTGCCCAGGAGAGGGGATAAGAGGTATTTAAGTAGTGCTTTGCTCATTCTGAGAAGAGTTCTGGGCCTGGTGGCATGTGAGTTACAAGTAATGATGGGCATGGCAGTTCTTTTAGATGTACTGAATCACTAGAATCAGTTCACTAAAAAGATTCATTCAAAAGACTCGTTCACCGAATCACTGAATCATTCAGGGCTCGGCAGGAGGAGCCTGCAACTCTGACTTCAGTTCAGTTCACGGCTTCTGGGACCGGGAGACAAGAGTGTTTGGCTGTGTTGCTTTGATAAACAGGTTTGTAAAAATGAACTTGTTTATAAATCATGATGTTTTAAGTGTTCTGTCCAATGGTATGCTATTTATCTACTCTGTAAATTGGGCTCAGTGAGTGATTCATTCATTCAATGTTTACTCCACAGGACATTCAGTGAAGAATTCACACTGAACATGTACCGTTCACTTGCAAATCGCTGCAATGATAGAATCAGACAGTCACGCATTTCTCAAACTGCGGGTTTTATACACTATTGTTGCATGCTGTGTCCGACCGTATGCAAGATGTTGTGGTGGCAATTTAGCTGAGTTAAAAAAAAAAGTTAGCTTTCTCCGAGGTACACTTGAACACAACACACCCCTATGTAGTTCACTGCGTGATTCGTTTACCAAGTGATTCAGGCGTCGGCGCATCTGTCCCTCACTTGCCGACTGCTCGCCCGACAATGGCGCTTGCTATGGCAGCTGCGCTCAACTGAAGTGAGAAACGAACAAATCACTTGAGGAAGTGATTTTGTTCACTAAAAAGATCTGGTTCTTTTGAACGAATCATTCCCAAACGATTCAACACTAGTTACAAGTGAACAAGTGTAAGTCCTCCTTAAATCCTGCTGTAAATACATCATTTATTTGCCTATTTTTTTGTTTTGTTTCCTGCATTGTAAATATTTTTACCACTGTTTGCTGTTTTAGGGAGTTGGAGTGAATTAAAACCCACTACACTGGAGTTTCAACAAACGCGTGACAGACCATGAGGCCACACAGGATTCAAACCTGCACTATTTATGTGAGGTATGTGATCAGAAGTGCAGTATCTCTAATGCATTGCACACCCGGCACAAATGTACAGGTCATCGCACATATACGACCCTAGCATCTGGAGATACATCCATTATATATGTTTCCCAGCATTGATCATAACAACCAGAGTGCACTGCTGCAGCCGCAGTGACAGTAATGACCAAAGTTGTGTCATATCATGGATGTAGTCAGTCTGTCACAGTGAGCCTCAGCAGCAGTGAGAGAATAGACACAAAAGAGTCCATTGTTGTTACACTAATAAAACTGCAATAGCACTCAGTGTTGCAGTAATAACAGTTTTCATGGGAGCTGAGGGAGCTGTGATTAAGTTTGGGTTACAGGAGAGGGATGAAGGCTGAGAGGTTGAGTGGATGCACACGTGAGATGATGACTAAGGAGGATCCTTGATCACTGAATGAGTCTGAAAGGTTGGTCAGACACAAGGAAACAAAAACCAGGAGGAGAAGGAAACATGCTTTGGTAGACTGACAAGTATTATCAAACTATTGCATTAAAAACTACACATATATTAAATCAATTACACCCTTTAAACGCCTTTTTGTGTGAGTTTTGATGATTTTTGCCAATAGACCTTTCCGACAAGTCATCATTACTGCAGTTAGAAGAAGTGATTTATCTTGAACTTAACAATATAGATAACCTTTGAAAGAACCTGAGAAATGTCATCTTCTCTATCAGTCGTGATCAACTTGAACTTTGTTCATTTTGCTCAACACACACACTTTAAGTTCATGTGGAGTCCTCCTGAGAGTGGACACTTAACTGCACAGAGGAGAGGACATCCTTCAGGAAATGGTCGAAAATATAATTACTGGTGAATTTGCTCCTACGATCAATCAAATAAAGGATTTGAAATCAAGAAATATCCAACTTATAGAAAGTTAAACTCAACACTTGGAACTGTCAACAACTTTCTTTCGCAGCTGATGAAATATGAGGAATACGGAGCATTTTCATGATATGATAAGTTGCTTATAGGTGCACTTGTGTAAACACAGCAGGCTGATGATTTGATGCAAACAGGTGAGCAGGCTGATGCAATCAGGATGACAAACAGAGAGAGACAACACACAAGGGTGGGTTGGTGGGAGACGGAAAAATAAACCTACAAATCTGAGAATAACTTAAGATCTGAGGTACTTTAAATATTAGAATAAGACATAATATGTCAAAAGCAGAAAATGCAAGATGATGTTTGAATAGCGTTATTTTGTAGTTTGTTTTTTTAAAGAGCGATGAGCCTCTGTGTCAGTGCGCCATCATGAGGTCCATAAAGCTGTAGTCAAATACTGTGCCGAGGTTGTTTTCCCAGTGTTTGTCATATTTGAGACTTCTGCATAGATTAACTGTAATTTAAGATTATGTTTCAGTCAACTTTTTTAGATGTTTAGTATCATCTCTTTGCCACCAATGAAGTTTATTACTTTTTTTAGCAGGAAAAACATCTCTGGTTCTTTGTTGCAGATGGAAGGAAATGATAAATTGATAATAAAACTCCTTTATTTCCAACGTTAAATTAAAAGTATGCAGAAAAACAAACAAAAAAACACCTGTTTTTTTAATTTTAGTATCATTGGCAGCATCGCTTTGTCTGTGTTTCTTCTGTCAATAGAGTCAGAAAAGGTTCCTGATGAGTGCAAGTGATTGAGGACGATTATCATGTACTCAGGAGTCTTCTACATATAAGGCCCGGCAATATCCTTCAAGGTTACTCTCTTTCTCGCATGAAATCTGCTCAGTATTTCCACACTTAGTGTTTTTTTCTGATGAGCTGAAGTGAAGGGATTGTCAGAGAGGGAGGGGGTTAGGCTGTTACTTTGAAGGCTCAGATAAACTTTGGCTGAACTTTGGAGTACATTTTTGCCCTGTGGGTTTTGTCCCACATTACTTACACCAAAGAGAGGATCATTTTGTGGAAAAATGAACTTCTTAAGTAGACTTGAAATGTGAAACAATCACTTCTACTGATCTTTGAGGTGAAGTTTTCATCAAACAGCTCAGATTTTTTATAGATTTATCAGCGCTGTATCATCATATTATGGTAAAGTATTAATATAATTCCTATATACATATGCATGGCATTATTGTTGATAACGTGCGCATGCTTAACTGCAGGTATTTAATTAGCTGATCATGTGGCTCTATCTGAATGCATCCTAGCTTGACGTTCAGTCAGAATGGAGCATCATAATTAAGAAGATTAGAGATTGAAGTGACTTTGAACATCAGATGGTTGTTGGTCCCAGATGAGCCGGTCTGAATACTGCTGATCTTGTGGGATTTCCACACACAGTCATCTTTAGGGTTAGGTCTCTAGGTAAGAATGCTTTGATGGCAGAGGTCAGAGGGGATCAGCCAGACTAGTCTAATGCACGACACGTCCAACCAGGTCACAGCAGCGGAAGACGACTGCGGGTCACACTCCTGTCAGCAAAGAACAGAAAACTGAGACTATAATTTGCACAGACTTTGAAGAATTTGGCGTAGATAACAAAAAGGTGTCAAGCTTGGCATCAACGGCTCTGGCTGGTCGTGTGGGGGATCATTTCTTAGCACCAAATACTAATACACAAGATTGTCACGGTGGCCCATGGTGGTAAACTTAATGTCATTGTTGCTATGTCTCAGGTTGTTCTTTGTATAAACACTGACAATTTCAGAGATTGTGCTCATTTACCCCTGACATCATGATTTTCCTCTGAATTTGGCAAATGAAGTCAATCAGTTCAAAGGAAATTGTTCCTTCAAGGTTCCTCGTCCTGTGACCAAATTGCTTATGATTATTTTGCTGCAGCTTGACTCTTCCCTGACAAGAACAAGCACAACCACATAACCCCAATTTTAGTGACCCTTCACTGGCTCCCAGTCTGCTTTCTCATTGATTTTCTAATTCTTTTAATCGTTTTTAAAGCCCTCAGTGGTCTTGCCCCTCTGTACCTTTCAGAGCTCCTGCATCACCACTCCCCAGCCAGAGCCTTAAGGTCCTCTGACCAGTTGCTTTTCAACGTCTAGAAGTGACAGGGCTTTTTCAGCAGTCGCCCCTAGACTCTGGAACAGTCTCCCTGGCCATGTTAGAACCTCACAGACCCGAGAGACTTTTAAATCATCCTTAAAGACCCACCTTTTCACTTGGATTTCATAGATGAGCAAACACAAATCATAGGCACTGTAGCTTTTATTCTTTTACTGTCTGTACTTTATTCCACTGTTTTAAATTTATTGTTTTACTGTTATCTATTTATTTACTTCTTTTATTTATCCTATGTACAGCACTTTGATCAACTGCTGTATTCTTAAAGGTGCTTGATAAATAATCCTGACTTGACTTAACCTATCTGGAAATAAAAGGAAGATAACACAGGCATAAAATCCTGCTGAAAGTCTGACGGTCCACCCATGATGCATGGGCTTCCTATAAACCCAGTCCAGTTAAAGTTATAATAATTTCACCATGTTAGAGCGGTGTTTGGATCCTACCTCTCTTTCAGGTGAACAAAGGTAACAATTACTCAAAATTTCTGCTCTTTGGTGATCTAGATGATTTACCTCAGCAGGAAGTGGCTTCAAATGACTCCAAGATCTGATTTTAAAAGCTGAGTCTTTTTGTCTGACACACCCCCCACCTCAGCAGAGACTGTCTCTGCTCTGGAGACGAGTTCCCACTGTGAAGACAAGTAATGTGTCAATGAAAAACTGAAAAACTAAAATGGAAGAAAAAGGTTTCAATGATTATTTGATTTGAAAAAACGGATCAACCAGACCTGTGAAATAACACCCCAGTACTGAGCCACCCTCACCCTCATGAAGCTGCCACACAGACCTTATACCGCGCATTCATTAGCGTGTTTATCCGATTTAATGACACCAGAATCCTCCCCTCCCTTACACATCTTAGCCTTGTTGACTCTAAATACCTCCAGCAGTGTTAGTGTGTGTCCATTAGTCTGCCCGTCCACAGCCTCCGCATCATGACACAGCACGGCGAAAGGGCTGCGTCCACCCTGTCTGTATTACGGCTGTTACTCTTTAGCAATCAGCCTGCGGCTTACGGTAAATAAAGCAGAGAAAGGGGGTCCTGCTCTGAAATCAAAACACTTGGCACAAAGTAATTACAAGCAGGGAAGTTTGTGTACGAGCCAGCAGTCTGTTTGAAGTTCTCAAAAGAGCCGAGCAGCAAGAAATGCCTCGGCTGATAAAGATCAGCGCTATAATTGAAAAGGGATTTTGAATCATGAATATACATCGAGTAACTTGGACTCCCTTCTGTATAAGTCAGTGACAAGAGAGTTTAAGCCCTCCTAAACTTCAAAAGAGTTATGTCCCACATACTCTCAACTATTTCCTGTGAGTTTCATCAGATAAAGTCTTCAGGTTTTTTTCTTCCTTGAGTACGGGGCCCGCTGTTTTTGCCGCATACTGTATGTCAGCATCTTTCCGAGGGTCTTCGCATGGTCTTCTTTGAACCAGACAGAGGACACACTCATCATATTTTGCCACAAAACACTGCTGGCTGAGTTAATGTGTTACTGCCATTGCATCACCTTGACTTCCCCTCTTTAGACTGTTTAATTGCTGCTCGTGTCTGGACTGTGAATAAGTGGGCTGGGTATCCATCATCGCAGCACCGTTTTACTCTCAAGGGCCACTCAACCCTCTATGTTCATGCAGGACTGTAAAAACGAGATTAAGCTTCAAATATATGAACTTGTGTCAAGTTTAATGATAATGCACCGGTACAGTAGACTGCTAGACGTTGAAATGCAAAGTACATTCATGGTCTATAATGATGTAATGTCTGAAACAGCCAGACACTGTCCTGCAATGACAAATGCCACTTAGAAAGATGGCCACCTTCTCTTGCCAGTGGTTTGCAATAAACAACTCTCTTTTCTGTGCTCTGCATTGTTTACCGTCCACTCAGCAGTAGTTAGTTTACAGTGAAGTGGAGATAAATTTGCCCTGAAAGTCGAA